TTTTTTTCATAGCTCTCCAATATTCATCCACATCAGATTATATCACCGCACTGCTCTCTCTCATTTCCTGTTCTCCTCAGCTGCTGACCTCCTCCTCATCCCTTTGGTGGTTGGCGTCTCTTCAGCCTTGTTTGTCGGCATCGTCATCATCGCAGCGGTAACTTGCTGCTTCATGAAGCGCCTGGCGAGGCAGCGCGCTCGAAAGTAGGCGTCCGGCGCCGTCTGTAATCTGATTGTTCACAAAGTCTTGGAAGAAATGGCCCATAAAGTAACTTCAAGAAGAAAAAAAACGAAGTAGAAAATGACTTTCGTCACCTCGTTGGTTGTCTTTCTGTGTTCTGACCTACATGTTTAACGATCAATGCCAAAAAAATTCAGTTTTATACTTTCTTGTATTTTTATATCTGAAACATATTTTCTTGATAGGCACAGTGCGCTAGGCTTCTGCCGCCACAGTTGCACTGCAGTCTCGAGCGTGTTATTTCTTTTGAGCCAACTTGCCCCCAACATATTGTTACAGCAGGATTGAACCACATGCTACTTAACTCATCAGATGCTTTCTGTGATGCTGCGTATTAAGGTCACTGTCTATCGACTCATGGTGCAAGTTCCCCACCAACAAAGACCGTTCTGTGTTTCCGGGATTTGTTTTTGATACTGTTCCAGTTATTCCTTCCTCAGAGTGCATGTTCTTCTTTTTACACAAAAGCTAACAATGTCTAAATGTACGTGCATGGTTAAGGCGCTGCTGCAGACAGTCATCGGATTGCTGGTGGGAGCAGTTTAGCCTCTGGAAAGTTAATACGAGCAGGGATGTTCCAGCAGCGCTCTGTGTGTAAACAAAGTCTTTGTCTGTTACTTAATAAGGAAGCTGCTGGCTGGGGACTTTCTGACGCTGTCCAACTGAGTACTTCATACTTGAGTTTTCTCTTAGGCTGACAGATTTGTATAGATTTGACGAAGAGAAGACAGAAGATATACCCACAATGCACTGGGCTGAAATGTGTAAATACTCTGTGGAGTTTAGCTGTTTTATTTTAAATCTTAATGCGTTAAGATTGTGCCGTTGCACCATTTTTATTTGGCAAGCACCTGTGTTTTAAGATTCTGTGCAGCAGACTACTCTGCTTTTTTAAAGCACTTGGAGAAAAAGCAGGGCTGGAATGTTTTTACTTGATTTTCTTCCAGCTGAAGTTATTTCGTTGCTGTTTTTCTTTCTTTTTGTGGGATTAATGGCTCCTAAGCTCCTGTTAAGTGACTGAGATAGAAAACTGTACTGTGACAAATAACCCCCGCGTTATGGCGGGTAACAGGAAAACTGTTGTGTTGCGTAAACGTCTTTTAAGAGTCTCATCCCCGAGGTGAAAACTTTTTCCAAGCAGTGCAGTCATATGACGAGACAGTGTAGTAAAAACTCACTATAACCGTCATCATTGTTATCGTGTGGTTCAGGCCATACATGCCTGCTGCCAACACTTATTATGACTATAGCTGTTGCTGCTAACCCACAAAGATTTACAGTGTCTGCGCACTTAAAACGGGTGAAATCGATCCTCCTCTTCCCGTTGAAAGTAACACTTAAAAAATAGTTTGGTCGTGCAAGCGGGCCTGTACTGTGCGATCATTTAAGGATAGATATATATTCAGCGAAAAGGAGAGGAAAGCAACATTAGTTATACTTGTGGCTCTCTCATTAAAATGACTAGTTGTTTGACATTTCTAAATTTGATTACCCTGAGCTTTGCTTTCTCACTTTATCTCGACGTTCTGTCTTTGTCGGAGTCTCTAGATCTCCCTGAAACCCTGATTATAAATGTTGGTCACAAACATCAGGGAATAAAATCACAGCTCTGCTTGCTTCCTGAGCCACTTTGTTCCAGATCAAGTGCTCAAAGCTGATTTGTTCCCCCACATACCCGCCCACCACACGGCTACACTCACACACACACGCACACACATGCACGTGCACATCCTAGCAGCACAGGGTAGCGTTTGCTGGCTGGTATTTCAAATGAGAGAAAGTGAGTATCTGCGTGTTCGTCTCTAATCCCTGTTTATGGCTGCAGTGTCCTGCTGCCCTTCCCCCACCCTGTGTTTGACAGTCGCTCGACTCACACTCGATTCATTTCAATCTGTGTTCCCTGAGAATTACCGCCAGCTGTAAGCGCTGATGCGCATCGCGTGCAGAGTATCAGAACTTCTGTATCAGTTGTGTTTTTGTCGGCAGTTGTATTAAACCCTTTGATGGAGGTGTTATGTTTTGTTTGGATTGTCTACTCTGCTTTAATACCACAGATCCTGAATGCGTCTTACTGCCTTTTAAATATACGAAGGCTGTTTTTCTTTTGCTCAATTTGTTACTTATGGTGCTTTGGCAGACCTGCCAGTTGGTACGACCAATAAACCACTCTGGGTCACCTTGTGCTTTATTTTCTGCTGCTTAACAAACATCTGTTTTCTGCAGACAGCTTGGAAATGGATGCAACTGGATCCATCCGAGTTATTGGACAACATTCTGCAGAGAAGAAAATAATCACATTTCTCTGACAAAGTGAGCTAGTAGAGCATATTTTCCATCGACAGTATGAAAACCATTAGATTTCTTGTACTTGGTGCAGTTTTTGCATTGCCACGCAAGCAGAGGATTAGTGTAAGCCTTGTGCAGTGCAGACTGTTTTAAAGTTTGTTACAGGATTTGCACATTTTTAGTGATGAGTAATGAGTTTTCATAATTTGTATCTTGTGAGAAATTCATAATTTAATGACAGAAAAAGAGAATTGCATGCAGTGTAGTAACATGGGTCTAAGTTGAGCACTATAGGGAGAAAATAGACACTAAAACTGGAACTAAAAATAATATTTTTGAACACATAGCCTGTCAGGGGTTTAAAATATTGCGGGTAAGGTAAAAAAAAGAAGTTACTTCTCGTGCTACAGTATGTTCTGGCATTTATCTGGAAGCTCTTTCAACATGCACTAATGGAATAAACACTGCTGCAAACCAAGCATCACACAATGAGCCTGCACTGCAGGGCCTGCTCGCGAAACACGAGCAAGAGTACTGAAAGGATCCAACATCAATATCCTGTATCCAGACACCACAGGACACCCCTGAGAGTCTGTCCGTCATCAGAGGGATCAGTTTGGGTAACAGGAGGGAGATCTGCACACACTGAGGGGAGGTGGTTTTTCACGCTGTGGCTGTTGGGTGTACAATAATGCTAGAGTATGTGTGAGTGGGATCAAACTTTGTGAAAACCTACAGAAAATGTAACATCCTCGCCGTTTCCCTCAGATTATTGAACATTTTAGCCTCTTTAAGCCCCTTTTTTTTTGTTTTTTTGTTTTTTTGTTTTTTTGTTTTCAAGGCTCACGGCTTTACTGTTGCTGTTCAAGTGAACACCGTGAAGCTTTTAGCAGATGAAAAAGTTTATATTTCTCCCGATCATAGAAGTCCTGTTGTAAAACGAAGATTTACCAAATGAATTACCAGCTGTTCCATTTCTGCTTAATTTATATAAAAAGCTTTTCCAGTTTCCATGACATTATGTGGCTAAATAACAAGAGATTTCACTTTTTTATCTTTATTTCTGCAAAGCGTTATTCCCTTTTGGATTCATATGCAGTGTGCAGAAGATAGAGACTCATTATTGGCAATGAGGTATGTATAGATATTTCCTGATAATGAAAGCTGGAGATAAAAAAAAACAATATGCAGATTTTTTTTTAAATAAAGAAAATGCAAACAAATTTTATTTTCAAACATAAAATTTAATGTACTAAATCCATTCATTTCTGCTTTGACACTCACTCTAAAACTATCTGTTCTGCATTTGCCTCCATGAGCCCCGTTGGTATTACAGTATATCAGTTTACAGAGCATTACATCATTAATGCAAACACTGTACCAATGGTAATCCTCTTCTTCCTGGATGACGTTGCAGGCAGGCAAACAGAGGCTTTGTAGCATACTGATAAGATGCTGTGCAGCCTGTGGTTGGCTGGTTAAGATACCTGCTTTCCCAGCCAATCCCTGGCAGCTGAATGTCAACCGAGGCAGGATTAAACACGCAGCGCACACACACTGCAGGCCAGGTGCCCGGTGTTTGTCAAAGCCTGTTTAAAGTTTTCTGTCACTTTTAAGTTTTTTTCAGTCCTACAAACAGAAAACTCATATAAAAATCTACAATAACAAAAAGAACAAAAGTGTTTTGTCTGGAATAAAAATAAGCTGGGCAAGAAATGCAATTAAATATTCTAACTAATAAACCTGAAGCCTGTAAGGCCTTGTTAATACCATATTTAAATGTATTTAATGCTTAAAAATATTATTTATTAAGATATTGTATGGCTTCGTACAGTACTTTTTTCTCCTCTACAGTACTGTGTATATGACTAAGCTGACTTCTCATATAAAATGGGAAACAGCTGGGCTAGCTCCACCTATCAAAAGTCTAAATCTCACTGAACTACCATGTTGTATTATGTGCCGTTGTTATCAGATGGTATGATGTTCTATATCAGTGGTCCCCAACCCCCGGGCCTCGGACCGGTACCGGTCCGTGAGAGTTGAGGCTCAGGTGTGAAATGTGTGGTTTTCAGGGTTTTTATCGGTTTTCAGCGTTATTTTGTTATCGTTTTTATCGTTAACTCCGTATTCCTGGGTCTTTTCACGTGTGTTATGAATAAATCTTCTATTTTTCAGTAGCGGTACTAGTTTTATTTTGTTGTATTTTTCCGCGACACCTTAAAGGCCGGTCCATGAAATTATTGTCGGGCATAAACCGGTCCGTGGCGCAAAAAAGGTTGGGGACCGCTGTTCTATATGTTCTACATGCTCGGTTACAGCCCATTTTAATGAATATTAGTGATAAAAATACCACCTGCACAAATAAAAACCTGAAATAGTTCAGTGACACAACATCCTGACTGCAATAAATCTTTTACGCACTGATAACAGAAAACCTTGCTCTCTTCCACACTCAGTCCATCAGGCCTTGCAGAGCTACATCTTCATTTTCAGACTTTCAGACTTCATCATTTATTCCTCCTGCCTGCGAGAGGGATGGCCTCATCTCTGGTAGCTGCAGGACCAAGATCGAGGCATCACCAGCTCCCAGAAGCTATTCTGTTGAGAAAAAGGAAAAGAATTGGGCCAAATATACATGCCTCACTTCTCCTCCTTCTCCTTCTAGTAACTCATTTTATTAAATTATTAGTAGATTTAACATCCATTTCTTTCAAGTTACAATCTCATTGTGCAGAGCACTTCTATTTGTAGACAGATGTTATCTGTGTTAAGCTATTGTGTGTGTGAATTATTCCACTGGCTTTAGAGGATTCCTCCTCTGGGGATACACGGACATACAGTTGTTCCTAGTGTGGTAAGCACTGAGCCCATCTGTCGAGCAAATCCTTTACATCTCTGACTTCATCAGACTCTTGGTGTCGGAAGGCAACTTTTAAAGTGTTAAAAACATGTCACACTTTTATTCACATCTGCTGCTCAACACGTGAATCTGCAGCACGGGATTACGTGTACACGTGTTTACACAAATGCATGTAGTCTGCAGGACGGTAATGAATATATGAATCACCGTGGATGAGAACAGACAATTAAGTCAAGATAATGAAGGAGTGGAAGAGGCTGTTTGTTACCACTCTCATTTTGCTGCTGACGTCTGTGTGACATCCAGCAGTAGTTGCGTAATGTGCTTGTGTACATGAGTTTTTTCATTCTCGCCTGAAGTTTGTTCACCCGTTGACCTATTTTCCATTTAGGGGTCATCTAACGCAGGGGTCAAAGTCAGTCTAATGACATCTACAAAAAAATAACTTGGTGTTTAATTTGAAACCCACAACTTTAAATCAGGATAGATCTGCACAAACCTTCACTACTCGTGCAGTTTGAGATAAAACTGTTTTCATGCCTTCAAACTCAATAAGGAGTCTCTCAGAGGTGAATTCTCCTAGCATGAGTACACATTTCTTCATAATTCTTCTGCAAAAAGAGGTCACTCATCTCTTTTTCTGTCAATTTTTATGGATTTTAGCCAAATTTGTGCTTCTGTATCCAGAGAAGTAAAGTAAGATAACTGAATGAAAGCATCTTTTGTGACCCACATTTGATGCTATAAAATGTACTTGTGTATGGCTTCTTTCTGAAGAGCTGGCTGATTGTATTTTGAGATTGTGCGTAAGCCCAGTAAGACATTGTGGGAAAATGGCTTTTTTTAGGATTGCTTTCTATGTGATTCTATTAAATGATATGAAGAAACTATTTATAGAGGAGAGGAGAAAAGGCATTTTCTACATATAAAGGAAAAACTTTACAAACAGAGATCTCGGGGAGTACGTACTCCTGTCCGTGGGCAGTATATCTGGGCGTACCACTCCTGGCAGTACAGGCACACCTGCACACCCTGACCGATGAAGAGACACACCCACATGATGATGTTGCAGACAGGGCTCTGTCGCTTGTCGGTCATGGTGAAGTTGAATGCCACTAAGAGAAGATGGGAAAGGGGATTTGTTAATGGGCTTTCGGTTCTTTCTTTGTATCTGTTATTGAGAGAGCAGGAGGTCGATAAAGGGACAAGGACACGCAGAGAGAAGAAACCAAAACATTGAGTGAGAATCCTATAAAAACAGACTTTTTACAGTGTTTTTGTGAATAATTGAAGAATTTAACTCGAAAGTTTGAAGGCACACTCTTCAAAGCAAAAGCCGTTTACATATTTTTAACAAGCTATGGATAGGCATCTCAAACACAGTGCTTTTATCAGCGGTAATAATGTAGACATGAAAAATGTGTCTGTGTTTTTCTCCCTTTAGAAGGCTTTTAGGCAAATGAATGAATTTCTGTAGCTGGGTCAGCACACAAGTTACTTATGCTGCGCTAACAACTGTCCCATGAATAATAAACACACCCCTCACCTCCAAAGACGGCAAAGAGCAAGAACATGACTGGGTAGAAGAAGCCGAACCCCATGGTCAAAGCATACTCGTGAACGACAGCAGAGACTATGAAAACCGAGAGCATGGCAGCAGTTCGGAATTTCCTATTTGACAGCTGCAGGGATTGGAGAGTGAACAGAAAGAGGATTTGGCTAAAAGTTCAGGGGTCAGACTGACTTAACAACAGTTAAATTGCCACACACATGCTGGTTTATAAACAGAGACAAACCAACAGAGTTATGGGATTTGTTTTGTTCAATATACATGTGTTAGTCTGCAGTATTAGTACTCTGCTCACCCAAAGAAAGTCCCTGTAGCCATAGTAATACAGCCAGTCATGAACCACTATGTTCCAGGTACGGTAATAGTTAGCAAAAGACGTAGAGTTCCACCAGTCCTGAAAAAACAACAGAGGATGAGTCACTCATCAGAATAAAAACATCAAGAAAAAGGCCTGAATAGGAGTGAATGTTTATTATTGAGCATCTATTTTTACTGATGAGAGATTCGCTATTATTAAAACATCTTAGCGTATACCAAACCCTACAACTAAGGATTTATAAATTGGTCTTGAAGGTGAAAGCAATGCAGTTCTGCACAGTGCATCAAGTTCCTGGGTGGGTATACTGGTTTAATCTTCATCGGTTTAAACAGACACCTCGGTGCAATCTCTGATTGTGTGCGACACCTTTCTATAAAAGCTGCACGTAAATTTCAGATGTGAGAAAAACAAAGCCAATGCATGCATTCTTTTCAATGACCAGCAGGAGGCGACTCAACTGGTTGCAAACTGACTATAAAAAATGTGACTTCTTAAACACAATCTAACGGTTATATTGTTTGATTTAATACACCATGCTGCTCATTCTGTCATTTATAGTCGGATTTAGAGTTGTTGACAAAAGAGGGTATGCTTTAGGGTGTGGCTTCCTTGTGAGTCATGTGCAGTGTACTCAGTGTCTCAGTCAGACTTGTCATTACCAGTTATAAAATACCAAGATAGGAAAAGTCCAAAATGCTCAACCCAAGGATTCAAAACAGCACTTCACTATCTAATGGGTGTTGGCACAGTGGCATGGCCATCATTTATATACAGACTATGCACGTTTGTCCCAACTGTTTCAGCTGACAAGCAGTGTCATTTGAACATTATTAAACCAATAAAGTGCCATCACAGACATGCATCTAGGGCAGATAAGAGGTTTAAAGGTTAAGAACAATTTGTAGCCACATTGTAAATTAGGTGAATCAACTCCTGTAATTAACATAAAATACACACACTAGAATCTTTTCAAGATTATTTAGAATTTTTAAAACAAAGATGAAATTTGCAAAACACTGTCTCGCTGTCTTACATCCATTTTTTGCACAAACCTGCAAAAAGCCTCATGGCTAACATTAGAGTATGATTATGACGAAAATACATAAGAGTGAAGAAAAGTCTCACTCACAACCACACAGACGTTTTCTGGTAAACTCCTGCCCCACATTCCCCCAAGTGCCTTGGTATCTTTAATAGCTAAATTCATTCAAACTCTCAGGCGTACTTAGAGTGCCATAAGCGAATAAGATTTGTGGAAGTGAAAGTGGCCAACCACGATAAGCAAGTATTTTCAGCTCTTGCTCAAGAGCTATATAAATCAACAGGATTCAGCGATGGAAAAGTAAAACTGTTTGGGGACCAGCAGGTCACCCTGCTGCCATTTCACTTGTCATTAATCAGAATTTGCTTGTCTGTAAAAGTAAGCATTTCAGAAAATAATGAGTCTACAGCACAGAAACAGAAAATGACCACTGGACCAATTAAAGTGTCCACAAAAATCAGCCGCACACCTTATAGAACATTCTGTCAGCAAAACGCAGGAGCTCCCCGAAGAGGTTGAGCCAGCAGTGCAGGAAGGCAAAGAAACACAGCAGGAGGAGCATTATTCCTGCAACACACACACACACAGACGGAGAGAATTGCATGGAGCGATTGTATTTTGGGCATTGCCCCCAGTTTTCTCAGAGGAATTGTAACTTGGCACAGATGCTATTGCACTAACTCGCTCTTCACTCAAAGGGAGTCATAAACATTTCAGCCTTTGATTACTTGTATCAGATTCATGTTAGCATCTTTCATCTTATCACTGTCTTAACGACACTCTGGAGTCCTTTCCTACATTGCAGGCTTAGTAAAATATTAACCAGTGCTGACTCACACGCATGAGAGATAATGGATGTTATAAACATAAATGATGTCACAATCAGAGTCAGAGATGAACTTTAACTTGCTCACAGCTTCTTTCTAACGCTGTAAGTGGGGAAAAAGGGAGGAAAAAAGGCCACGTTGAGTTTGTGTGTGTACAGCTGAGGACTCTTTGAATAAGAGGACATACCTGGTAATATAGAGTGAAAAATAGCCAAAACCATTGTTCGTTTACTGAAAGGCACGTTGGTCTGGGTTCTAAAGACCGGCATGCAGAGACGCACCAGGATAAAGTAGCCGTAGAACAGGCACCCCAAAATCTGCAAAGGGAACATCAAAGAGGTTCGAGAGGAAATGAAACGGAGAACACACACGAGAATCAGAAGTACAAATGTGGAAATGGCTTAGCGATAACTGCGATCAGGGATATATTATTACTTCAGATTATTTCAGTATATTTTCAGTATATTCAGTATTTTTAGGTCAGCAGACACTACCAAGTCTTTTGTTAGATATTCAAAGCAAAAGTGCTGAATTATAAATAGGAAAGCAACATTTTATCTCACCATGCCAAGAGTAATGCCAACATAGTTCCATCGTATGTGGCGATTTCTGCAACAAAAGGACATTTCATAAATTTCAGATGTAAGATTATTCTTAATGTGTGCTCTGTTCTCAAATTTTTATCAGTTTTCATGTTGCCTGAATTTGTCTCTAGTGTTGCAGTCCAGATTAGGGATTCCACAATGCATCTAATCTCAGATCAACACGACTGCTTATAACTGCATCTTGTTGTTTTTCAGCCGTCGTTAGATTTATGTTTGTAGCTGCTGAGCTATAGATTCTGAGAGATGGGATTTGATGCTGTAATGAATAAAAAAGAAAGTCGTTGCTGGCTTTGTGAGTTTGTGTCACATGACAGAACCTCCAGTTTTAATGAAAACTGGACATAGATATTTTTGATAATTACTAGAACAGAAGAGCATAAATAACCAGCCAAAATGAGGGGTTAATATATCCTACCGAGGGTATGATTCCTTGTAAATGAGCGTTGGACAGAAGAGGAAGTACAAATAGCTGGAAAATGTTGGGAATCTGTGATTTTCTCCTGAAAAGACAAAGACAACGCTGTTAGTGTGGCCATCATGTTTGTGTCCAAAACCTTTAAGTTATTTTAAAAGTGGCTTCACATTGAAGTCTTGTTGAGTCATTCATTATTCATTTAATTTCACAGCTTCACTGTGCCTTTAATGCAAGAACCTGTAAACAAGTGGCTGTCTTTAAAAATTAAACAACACTCGGGTTGTCGCTGAATCATTAAGCCATTATACCAAATTATCTGCCTTAAAGACTCATCAGTTTCACTAAATGGTTTGCTGTAGTTTGTTCCAGCTAGTGTGGCGTCCTTTAAAAACTTGTATTACAGCCCTGCTCTATAAAAAATGTATTTAACGGACCTTCTGTGTGAAGAAATGATCTTAACTTCCATTTCGATTTTATGTCAGTTTTACTACTTAAGTCAGGACTACAGTTTTCTCCAGGGGGCATTTGTTTTAAGTATTCATGTTTTTGCTCTTGGTCTCCCCTCATGTTTCATATTTTTATCTCCCACTAACAGACCTGTACAAGAGCATCTCTAGCTGCAGATTCATTGTTAGTTTTAAAGTTATTACATAGGTAACCTGCAGAGTTCTGCTTAAGTCATTTTTCCCCCTTGTTTCCGGGAGTGTCACTGTGAGTAATGATAGCGCCCGGAGAGAACATACACCGGACTTCAATACAATACCTTCCTTTGGAGCATTCTTCATGATAACAGGAGCCGTTTCTCTTAAGAACGAGTAGGTTTTCATCAGGAATCGAATCTGGAGAAAATGGATACAGTTATTACGTGAAGGGAGACAGTGTATCAGTATTAGCTGCTTCTACTGTAGATGTTTGTCTTCACTCCAAGAACTGACAAGCTGCCCGAAATGAAACATCCAGATACTCACATCTTTTCTTTTTTGTTTCTCTTTTGTTGTTGACTCATGATTTATGTGCACTCCCATCAAACTTGAAGCAGTGCAGCATGGTGGGGCAGAGAGCAGCACAGTTGCAGAACTTGGCTTAATTTGTCATAAACTGCAGTTCAGAGATGATGCACAATCAATCTGCGTAGAGCAGGGAGCATCATAAAGCAGCAGTGAACCGCATTTTGGGGCAATTCAGGGAGTTTGAATATTTAATTTCTGCATCAAACTCAGCAGTTTTAAAATGCCATGAACATCATGTAAATACAAAAAAGACTGATTGGACTCAGTCAGATGAGGATCATGGCCGGGTTTCCCAGAAGCATCTAAGCACCGAGATTATCTCACTCCATCAAACAGAGCTAAAATGATTTTAGTGCTAAGACTGATTTTGGAGGCCGGGGCCGATGTGATAAAGAGGATGAGGAGGTATTAGTGTATGGGTTTGTGATGTTCAAATGCTGGCTGCAGTGAGATCTGCTGCCAGAGATGCTTTCTCCTTTGGTGACTTTCCAGTTGGAAAGCTCCCATCTCTGGCTAGCAGGCTATCTTTATCACAATGTTCCAGCTGAGGGCAGTGAATTACTGCTTCTACAATTTGGATTACCTATGATTGCCAATGAATATGTGTGTAATGTTATCTATGATACAGTGTGTTTCTAGCACAGGTCATTACCAATAATCTTTTTTTTTCTGTTGCATTTGAACACAAAGTAGCTCTTTACACTGAATATGCAGTAAATGAAAAAATGAGCGGCTGCACGTGTGACAGACTCACCTGTTCCAGTATCACAATAAACCGCGATGCAGGTGGCAACTGGTGGTGCACAACAACATAGATGGGGAAGACTCCAAGTATCCAGGTCTGTATGAGATACAGGATCAGCCCCATCCCCAGAGACAGCCCCATCTTGGAGGGGACTTTGTGGTACAAAGAGCCCCAAAACAGCAGGGTGTAATAGGGAACGCTCAGGGTGTAAGAAAACATGATGGCCCAGGCTACAGTGACCGTCCCCAGCTTCCCAAAGGCGTAGAACAGCAGGTCAAACTCCAACACTAACCTGGGATTGAAAACCAACCAATAAAGAAATAAAGAACAATATTTATTATGTATTGGAAACCACTTTGATTGTATTCAAGCACAGCTGGGTTTTCTTTTCATTGCTCGAATCGTGAACGCCATTGAATATTTTCCCTCTGACATTCTTTCATCCAAAAGGCCCCTCCAGTGATGATATTAATAAATTTTAAACACACACTTACAGCTGTGTCTTTTTTTTTAAAGAACAGTGTCACAAGTGTGATAGTATTATTTGTGTACCATTATTTAGCGCATGTAAATAAAAAATCACTGTTAACTGAAGCTGAATGGATCAAATCATTTGCACGCAGCAGAGTTGCCCACTGGCACTAGCTCAAATGAGGAACATTTGCAACTGCAAACAAAAACCAAATCATTACGACACTGCCCAAAGCAACAGAAGAAATACTCAGAGGAGTTGATTCGTTATCTTTCTGCTACCAGATGAGCAGAGGGGCAAGGAAGGAAGGCGGGAGATAAGAGAACAGGAAGTCTTTGATTTATTGAGTTTCTGTTAGATTTGGTTCAGGGTTAAAGAGTTTGACACATGGCAGTACCACACACACACACACACACACATCCACGTGTCCCACTGACCTGCCCTGATCGATGTAGTCAACAGCCAGAGTGCTCAAAAAGAAAATGATGAGAACAGCTATGAACATGTGGTAAATGGTCCGGATGTGGCTGATCTCGAACAGTTCGCTGAGAAAGAAGAGGAAAGACACAAATAAATACACAACAAAATCAATAAAATGGCCCCATGTTTGATAAACCTGTGCGAACTCTGCTGTGAATATTGCAAAGGTTTACAAAAACGTGCTAGTCCCATCTCAGTTTGCAGTTTGATTGGGTGCGCCTTGCTAGCTCTGGGTTGGACTCCCTTTTGTGTCGCCGATTCATGAAGGTACCGGGGACGTTCCTCAGAGATTTAAGGCCATATTGAAGCGACAGCATCAGACTTATCTGATGCATGAGGTAAATCTCATGTTCCATCACAAACCAAAGGTGCTCTCGGATTGAGATGGCATGTGACTGTGCAGGACATTTGAGTACAGATGGCTCATGTTTATGCTGCTGGAAGCAGCCATCAGTAGATGAGTAGACAGTCATAAAGGGATGGAGAGGGTCAGTAATGATGCGTAGGTAGGCTGTCACATTTAAAAGATGGCCACTTGGTACTAAGGGGCCCAAGGTGTGCCAAAATTATACCCCACATCATCAAAGCATCACCAGCCTGACCCATAGACACAAACGGGATGAATACATTCTTCATGTCGTTTACACCAAATTCTGACCATCTGAATATAGCAGCATATATTTAGACTTTAGATTTAGGCAACGTTTTTTCAGTCTCCATTGTTCAGTCTGTATGTCCGGTATGATCATGAGCCCAAGTGAACTTTCTGCTCCTGTAAGCCCATCTGCTTTTTTGACCCATTCTCTGTGAACCATCGAGATGTGTGTGGGAAAATCCCAGTAAGTCAACAGCTTCATGTCTGGCATAAACAACCATGCCACGTTAAAAGTCACCTAAATCATTTTTTTTCTCATTCTTGTGTTCACTGTGAACTTCAGCAGGTCACCTTGTCCATATCTACATGCCTAAATGTGCATTTGATGCGCTGATCAGATAAATCCATTAACGAGCAGTTGAATAACCTAATAAAATGCATAAACCATGCATATATCCAATTAAATTAGAATTTTCTATTTGAAAACTATGTACACTGACAATCTGTAGATGTTAAACCCTTGTGTTAAACCTGACTCTGATTTAATTTGGGTGTCTTCACATCTTTTATACTCACTCCAGCAGTGACGCCCTGGCCATAAACACTTTGCCATCATCCATTCTCTGAGATCTGACACAAAGCATAAACAGAAAAACAGTCACACACTTCAGTGATTAGCATAAAAAAAATATGGTGACCAACAGACCGATTTGTGTCTCATTCTTACCTGGATGAGCTTATATTTTTTGTCTTTCCATTTACTGTTGACTGGGTGTTGGAGAGGGACTGGACGGACTCAGTCAGAACTCTGTCTAGAATTTCATTGAGCTGATCCTGGACCTGCTCCATGACTTTTATTTTGATCTTCTACAGGAGGGAAAAAACATTTCTTTCAAATCACGTTTCAGTAACTGTGTTGCCTTTGTAAACCACTTTCCTACTTTCATCCACCGTTTAAAGAAACAGTGATGAAATACCTCAGTACATCGTTCCCACTGCCTCGCATCTTCTTCCACCACCTCATCATGATTGCCAGCTGCAGAGAGAAGAACAGATGTTTCTCACATCGTTCGCTAAACTTTTAAATATACTGAATATATCTTTCACCTAAAACTGTGTAAAAATAGACAGAACTGAAAGATCAGCTTACAAATAAATGTAAATTACTTCCTTTATACAGTATGAAACAGTATTTTGTCCATACCAGAGCTTGAGTTGTCAGATGACTGTCGGGGCTTGATCTTCCGATTATACACCCTGCTATCGGCCTCCTTGGTCGTCATGGCTACCCTCACGACTGGAGTTTAGTCTGTTTTCAATGAATGCACGTGCTGTCGTACTGATGCCTGTCAAAGTGAGTGATGTAATGCTTTTATTTATTCCATGTGTATAGCTCATGCCGAAATCTTCTAGGTAAATTGTGGTGAGTATAACTGTAACGCATTTATGTTGAACTAAAATAAGCTGTGTGCATTAATATATCATTCTTTGCAAACGTGTGACGCGCCAAATGTTGTAAATGCTTTGTGGAGAACAGCCTATAAACTGTAAGCAACTTTTACTGGTATAGTTTTGCACATTAGTAAGACACACATGAATGTTTAAGTTTAAATCCTTCATTTAGAATTAGTGTTATGATGGGTACATGTTATTATTTTGTGTTTTCACTTTGAATCTTGTGGATGTGTGATGTTTCCAGTGTCTGTGTGGCTAAGAAGCATTAAAGGTAAAGACCTCAGGAGCAGTTTTTCAACTGGAAGTATTTCTATATCGGTAAACTGCAAGTAGAAGAGGGAATTACCTTGTCATAGTTCACGAAAGACTGAATTCATGGCAATTAATGCAAAATTAAAATAAGACTCATTATTAACCTCCTAGGACCTGGCGTCCACATATGTGTACATCACATTTTTGGGTTATTTAGACCAAAATACTCAATTTTGCTCTACAAGGGCCTGATACAAGAGTTTAATGAGTCTAGCTGCCAGTACTTTACTGTTTACCTGTGTGTTTCCGCCCACCAGCAGCAGTGCGGCAGCTGCCACAATTGCCACGAGATTCAACCTGGATTTAGCTTTTTGTTAAAGTTTAATAACGTGAGAGGATCTTCCACGATAAATTGAAAAATTACATCAGGTCACTGGCTCGTTGCTGGCTGGTTGCCTCATGTCAGAGATTATTATCATTCCTGATGAGCCTCAGTGTCGGTGTAGTGAAACCAATCGTGTGAATCCAAAACTGAAAAAGTGAACTGCTTGTCTGGATAAAGGCACCTGTAAGCTCGGGGTTGTGGAACAGTGGTTACCCACAGTGGTTTTCCACAACAAGCCACAAGTCACTGCAGTTCAAGCTAAACAATCTAAACAAATGATAAAGATCCGCGTCTCCACTGCAGGTTATAAGAGATAAGCTACACAGCAGAGAGGTTGCATTGTGGGGTAAAAAACAGTCATTGACCTCATTAGTGACCCATACATTCTGGCCATTCCTCCATTAAACAGATACGCATCAAAAAGAAATTCAGATTAGACGCTGTGCAGCTGCAGACACAGTCATATGGGGTTTTTAAAGCAAATCATCCTTATTGTAACAACTCTACGATTATTGATGAGTCTATTTCCTGTTTAAGAAAGTATTTATTGGCTTGACCTCTTTTCTACTTGAGCCCGAGCAGCTGTTACTTTCCTTTTGATTTGTTGTATTGATGAACTTTGTCTCCCTTTGTCAAAATGCTAAACTGATGCTTCACTTAATTTCATGAGCAGCCAGTACTAATAGATTTTCAGCAAAATCTATGATCTGTTACGAAAACATTACTCATAGAAGCTGTTTTAAAAATCATATTTGGGTTCATGACCTACTTTTACCTACGTGAAAAATTGCCTGTGTGGTTAGAGGTACATGCATCGGTTTAATAGCCCATTCACAGAAGAACCCTTGAACTCAATAACTCAGTTCTGTCATCATTATATAAAATTTATATCCAGCACGATGCTTCAAGACCTCTGATCTTCTTTAGTGTTCAGTGTTGGCTACAACACTCGTGTCGAGCGTTTCCTACTAATTTAAAAATTGCCCACAGCAGAAACTGCAGACTTATCATTCGTTTAAATAATACAAGTGTCAAATGTCAAACATCACTGTGTCAGGTAGATGTGACATGATCTATAAATATGCATTAGATGTGTACTCACGGTGTTTTAAGTTCAGGTCCACTCAGCAGTGCACAGGATGACAGCCTCTGTTTCAGTCAGTTTCCACTGACACTAACTGTTAAGTATGATGCAAGTCTTATGATCTGTGTCCCCTCCTGATGCACTTTACCCTCATTGCTCCTGGCCCAGGGCATCCATTGCCCAATCAAACTTTACCTCCTTGGCTGGACTCATGAGGTCATGCACAACACTGGACTGTGCCCTAATGTCTCACTTATCCAAGATACTTAATACAAATTTCATTCATATCATGTATTTTGTGCACTATGTTAAAGGTATATAATCTGGGTCAAACTTCAAACCAAAATAGTAAATATCACAGGTCTATTTAGCATCTACAAATATGCTCTTATTTGAAAAAGCATGTTGCTTATTGTTGAAGCACAGCAGTGTGGAAACAATGTTTCCACTTTAGAGTAGATAATGAATGAACTGGGCAAAAGTGTGTGTGTTTCAGGAGTAACTGGTGAACTTGAGAGAATTGTACATTGTGGAAATAAATATTTGTTCAAAACTCAAAACATTTCCAGAGGAATGCTGTCTGTCTGTCCATCCAGTCATCCATGTCAGAGTCGCGGTGTATAACCTGAGGGCTGGCAGTTTGTTGCTGGTGAATTCAAACCCAGGACACAAAGATATATGTACTGTATTAATGTATTTGTCCATTTATATGAAATGTATCTCTCGGTTTAAACTAATGATACATGTACAAAATTACTTTCTGGTACGAAGCACAGCAGGAGTAAAGAAAAAGAAACTCTTTATAAATACTATTTTCAAATAAATACATACAAGGTTAGAATGATTTATTTTGATTTAAAACAATCCCCCAAACTTTGTGCTCGTTCAACTTGATGTGAAACTGTTAAATCGAAAACGTGTTCTCGAACAAACTGTACGGTTTGTTTGGTGTCCTCGTTTCAAAAATCAAAGTATTGAACTTGGACAGTACTACGATTACACTAGATAAACATAGTTTGAACAAAATGGTAGAAAATCATTATAACATAACATCATTATAATGTACATTTTTAATAATAATTTAATAAGCTCACATTTTACAAGACTTTATTGAGGGGTCAAGGTAATGTTAATTCCAGTATTTTGCTGGGGATTTGTTGTGAGGTCCCACTGACATCACTGGTGCAGCTGTTTTTAAAGCTGCTTTATTTCTCCTGCTTCTCTCCTGGGCTGCGAGCTGCAGAGGTTACTGACGTTATAATGTTTTATTTGGCTTTTACAAATAACATTAAAGAAGAATAATGACAAGAGCGTGTGGTAATCCTCTGTGCACAGCATCATATTTATTGAAAGGTGAGTTCATGAAATAACAGCGCTGTTTCTCAGCAGCTACAGAAGAGAGTAGTTCATGCACTAAATCACACGCCATAAACAAACAAAACAACACACTGTTGTACAAATAAACACAGACACTTCGCCTCTGTCTTTTTTTAACCGCTCGGCCATTCCTGCAGTTCTCTTTCTGCATGGTCAGGATACAGTATCACAATTCTTTGATCTTGTCGGAATATTTTTTTTAGATTTGTTACAATTACTTTAAGACAAACAGAACAATTGTTTTTTAAAAATAAAATAAACGCAGACACTCCCAGTTTGATGAGCAACCACAGTGCAGGAGGCTGTTTTCAGCTCGCGGTTTCTATAGGTTATGTAAACACACACAACTTCAAAAGTTCAGTGGCCTTTTATTACCTTTTAAAAAGACAGATGATGAAAAAATACTCAGATTTAAAGGGCAATTAAAGGGATGTAATAATAATTAGAATGCTACACACATTTCACTCAACCTCAGTCCTGTAATAATAATTATCTGTTACAAGTAACATCTTTGTGCTGAAGAGGGACAACCGTAAAAAATATAGTAGTATAGTAATTAAATACTTTATGGTGCCAGTTAGTTAAAATTAGGATATTAAAAGACATCCATAAGCTGGGTTAATTGGTGACCTAATTGTCTAAAGGTGTGGATGTGAGCCCGTCTCTGTGTGTTGACTGGTAACCTTAGCACCACACCCCACCCGCCTGCCCCATTAAAGCATAAGCAGGTTAGGTAATGGTACTAAACCATATCACGTAGATAAATCCTTATGTTTTTCATCATATACTGAATATGAAAGGAGGACATAGCTGCAGAGTCTGAAAAGTGAAGCCGGAGTGGATCAAACCTGCAGTCTGTCTGACTCCTCAGGGTTCAATAAAATGTCAGATGTGAAAGTGACCCTCAGTTCCCTCCCTCCATTACCTCAGTAAACACTTTCCTGATAACTCTTATTGGTTAGCTTCAGTTCTTATCAAATACGATATGTTGTTCATTTTATCAATTATAGTTCTGATTAGAATCAAAAAGAAAGAGAAAGCTGGGGATACTTTAGAGCAGGGGCATCAACTCTTGAAACCAGACTACGAGCAAAAACACAGAGAAGGCCAACAAGCTCAGTTCAAGACTTCATGGCAGAACTTTACAAACCACTGGGTGATGTGGTGACTATGTCCATCTTTTATATACAGTCTATGTTTGTTATAACATTGTAGAAAAACACTATTACAGGGTGAAGTAGACGTATCTGAGCAACCACACAGCACAGGAAGTGTGTATGTCTGCAACACGGCCACACTGTTGTGCACTTCAGAAAATAAAACTCCTTCCTTCGTCCACTTAAAGACAAATATGTTGTTCATGCACACTAACCTGTAGACTGCTTTGATACACATTACTGGTCCATTTTGGTTAGAAGCAGGTGCAAAACTCTGCTAATGAGAGGCAGCTTTTATCTGCACACAAACACGCAAAGCTCAATGTCCACTGTCACCCTTGACCCTTCCATCCTGACTGTCTGATCAGGAGGTGCACAGAGTGAATGTGACGGGTGGCGAGGAGCTACTGACGGTCAGTGTGCGAGTGAACTCAGACTACACCCAATCAATACAGGACTGATACATTATCTGTACTTAGGGGTCAAAGGTCAAATATCTCACTGGCTCATGAGGTGCTACATCCATGTGCGCATGTGTGTGTGTGAGTCAGCAGGATAAGACAGGATTGTATCAGCTCTTGATAACCTGGAGTAACCCTTGCTTCATGTCTCCAGCAGAGCTTAGAGCTCGCACAGAATAAGATCCTATTTAAGTGACTCACTACAGTCGGGGCTTTGGTTTCACTCTGAGGTGGTTCAGCAAAGAACCGTAAGATTAGTCATTTTGTTAAACGTTTCTTGGAACGGCGGCTCTCACACAAAACTGCAGAAATCTCAAATCTTTATGATTCACTACAGGGACTATAAAAATAATACAGTTGCACATCAAAACAAAATGATAATGCTTCACTCGAAAACCGTTATAAATTAGAGATAAACAGCCAGTAAATATTTGAAGTAGAGCAAACAATAAATAATATATTTCTTTCCAGCTAGTATAAAAATAGTTGCTACACACTTTTTCCACTCTGCCATGCTCTTGCATAACATGACAGTGACTAAATATTTCACGCACAATCCCTGACAGGCAGTTTTAAGGGATAATTTACAGCGTAAAGTTGCCTTTACAACTACACGATGAGTCTTTACAAAACAATCTGTCTTCATTTGCTTTTGTCTTTGCTTTCTGCTCACAGCTAAAACTTGCTACAATGTGTCCTCTGAGGCTGATAAAGCACAAACTTGTGCCTTAAAGAGTCTTATGGAGTCTCATACGTTTATTGTCTATATTAAGCCCTGGCCAACTATCATCCACAGTATATGTGTATATGAGTATTTTAAACTCAAGGGACACTTTGTTAGGTCCACTTTTGCCTGAAGAACTGCCTCGATGCTTCATTGCATTAGTTTAATGAGCAGTTGCACAGGTATATCTAATAAAGTGGCCAGTGAGTGTAGTTTGCTGGCGTCGGTAGATTTACTACGAATACTCATATCTTTCTCTCAGGCTATGTGCTGTGCAAAAACTCATCACTGAGCCACACTCTCACACTTTTCTAACATTTTTCCTGATCACTATGAACCGTGGAGTATTTTTAGTAAGTCCTGCATACATCATCCTGCTGCGGTAAATGCTCACCGGAGCACCAAATGTGTTTATATCCATGACTGAACATAGTCCTTAACAAGTACACTGACTAACATTTGCTAAAAAGAGCAGTCCTCAAACATTTTGGGGGAATTACTTTGAAACTCACTTTGAAAAATGACACAATATAGGCACGACCTGTTTTTGACTGTTTACTGAGAGCCACAGACAGGCTGCTGAGGTCACAGATTTCTGATAGACAGCTTGGAGCATTGTTGGCTGTTGTTCTTCTAATGAGATTTGGTACTAACAGCGCACACATCTCGATGCTTATCTTCTATTCTGGTTTTGGGACTTTAACATGTTTATTGTTGCTTCACTAGTGTTCTTCCTCTTTAATACACATTTTTTGAAAAATGCTGACAACCAACATTGAAAATCAACATGCAGTGAAAAGTATAAATATCAGAAAAGTGATCACAAGGATCAAACTGTTTTCATGTTGTTAGTATTTTTTGTCTTTTAGATTTTCCATATGTTTATCAATGACACTGATGATAGTTCTAATAATAATCATAATGCTCAATGCCGACATCCCTCACTGAGTCTTTCACTGAGACAAACAGCACAACCTAGTGGAAACCTACCACACGGCACTTTCTCTTCCTCACCTTTCTATTTGTGGTCCCTTCATATTTCAAGTCATGGGGGAGGGGGTGCAGCAGCATCACAGGTGTAGGTTGCCAGGTCAGGCATTTGAGATGCAGTGCTTGTCAAACTGTTACACCCCACAAGTCATAATACAGAAACGAGAAAGGATGGAAGAAAACAAGCAGGGTGCCTAAAAAAGACACAGGAGGTCTGTTTACAGCAGGTGAGGAGGATGCGAGAGGAAGGGGAGTCTGGGAGGACAGTGATCAGCTGCATGCAGATTTACAGAGGCCTCAGAAAAAAACGTCTGCCTGGAGAGAGAGAGAGACAGACATAGACAGAAATAGTGAATAAGAGCGACAGATACATTTGAGAGAAATGGTGAAAGCAAAGGATTGCAGAAAACAGGAGACAGCAGCCAGTGAGTCATGCCATCAATGCCAGAAGGAACATGTCTCGAGTCATTTTATACCTGGTGTCTTTACTAAGGAGTTACTTTTATTTGAGAACTGCACAGTGTATTCTGGGGCACGATTTAGATTTAACAGCACATAAAATTCAGCGGCTTTGTGGAAGACTTGTATTTACTCGCTTGCAAACTTTACTCCAGCTGAAAGGACTTGAAAAGTTAGAATAACGTCCCCTCATCTTCATTGCATTCCTCAGAGTGGAGGAATATATAGCATATTGGACATTATTAGTCTTAACATGATTGCAGTTTAAATTAAATATGCATTCCTAATTAAGGTCAATTCACTGTCAATGGTGAAGTATTTTTAAAGGAAGTATTTTTAAAGGAAGGTGCATACAGATCATGTCTGTTAGGTATTTTTGTGCAAAGTGTCTCACACTCTTAAAATAAAAACTCACCCAGGTTTCTCACATTGTTACAGCTGCCCACAAAGCACCAAAGAGCTGAAGCCAAGCAGCCTTAAAGAAATAGTGCTGATTCATAAGACCTCATGACCCAATACATCAATTCTAATCGCATTTTACTACAGCACGATGAACTGAGGAAAATGTCCATTCTCGGGCATTATCTAACACGCTTCTATGCATCCTACTACCAAATCTGTCAGTGCTGGTTCTAGTCTGTTGGGGCTCTTGGCGAGAAATTCACAGCGTACTCCTACAACCAGAATTCATAACCATTATAAATAATGACCAATTTGAATGGTTATGAATTGTTAATAGTGTATCTTCTCCATAAATAGCTTCCCCATTCTGCTTTCTTACCTGCTCAGGACTATTAGCTGGCTGAAGCCTCTGGCTGCAGACTGTAGAGTTTAGCTGGGTCCTGATTGTCACACACATCAGTTCTGGATACAGAATTCACATTCAGACACATGCTAAGACAGATAGAGCAGAACCACATGCCGTTGCAGCATCATCCACAGCAGCAGCAGTAGCAGTGACAGCAACAAGGGGGCAGCAGTGATGCAGAAAGAAATGGCAGTAAGAGTCAAATCAATGCTTTTACAGTCCTCATTCTAAAACAGAAGTGTGATCAGTGTGTGCAAGACAAATGTGGCAGCACAGTTTGTGATGTATGCTTCTACCATTATTTACTGCTACTAGCTGCATTAACTTAATTAGTCACTGAAATTAAAAGACAGCTAATTACAACCAATATTTCTACCCTCCAGTAAGTCAGCGACAGACACCAGCAGGTGCTTTGCCGTTATTTCAAAAGAGTGCTCAGGTCTTACCTGTTGTCATTGATATCTGTGGTGTTTCCTGTGGACAGAAAGAGTGCATAAGGAGGCAGGCAGGTGCACAGTGACAAGGTTGGTGGCGTGTGAAGTGAGGGAGGAAAAGTGGGTTTGTAACAGACACGTAAGTTCAATTAAAACAGCCTAATGTGAAAGTGAAGTTAGACGCCAATATCTCACATTTGAATGACAAAAAAGAACATTTTACAAGCACTTTACTGATCTGGCAACCCCATCAGTAAGGCAAGGATGGAAAAGCAGCACCAGCACAGGTTTAGCTGCCCAAAGCTTCATGCTTAGGGAATGATTACGGGCAGGGCCATTAGGTTATTTTCTACTAACATATCATTAAAGTTACCAGAAAGACTGATGCCATGGTAACACAAATACTGACTGTCACTTATAGGTTTTGTAACTTTCACCTGCACCTGAAGAGTTTTCATTGTGTAACATCTCTACAGGACATAAACACATTTAATGTTGCTTGAACAAATGACCAATAAACAGTGGCAAACACTGCCATTTGACCATAAGTGCCTCGTGTTTCCCATCTAAGGTGTCCTTGCATTAAAGTACAACCATCCCAAGGACTTTTATTAGCAGAAAACCAACAACACTTTCTTGGGAAATTGGGTCTGGTTTTAATACTGGTTCCTGGATCATTTTTATATCCTGCAGAACCTGATGAACTGAATTCAGCCCCAGCAGCGACTCTATTAACTCAACCCTCGGAGGCTGGCATTCTACCTGAATTACTGTGACAGAGATTCATTTCACCAAACATCCACTTGGCCTTTCTGCATGACAACGTATTGACAAAACATAACAAGACACTTCAGTTGCTTCTCAGTTTTTAGCAAGCCTCTGTGGATTTATCCATTGTTATGCACAGAAGCAACTTTATTTAATTTGTGCACAATTTGATGAGATGGATGCAATCATGGGACCTCACGCTTGACTGGATTATGAGGCCTGTTCAGTTTAATCCCTTAAGTAGAAAAAAATATTGTGACAGTTAATAAAAATCCTTATCCTGTCATGTGTGATGTTGCACATGTAGACACTGTAACACTGAATGTTACATTTAAACATGCTATGAATAAGAAATAAGAGGCTGCTGATCTTTGAGATGTGCATTTCTTCATAACTCACTGAAATTCATGACACTGAGAAGAACAACGGTAAAAAGTAGTGATGAACCAGAAGAAATATGGCTTCAAAAGTCTGATTACATGATAATTACAGTAGACATTTGCCTAGTATGAAGGAAAATAAGAAATAAATCTGAATGAATAAAAAAATGCTGAAAAAAATCAGAAATTTACAGACAAAAAGAGCAAAATATTGACATTTCTTCCACAGCATTGTTGACAGAAGAAATAATAATGGGAAACCAGACTTGAACTAAGCCTGATTAAATCCTTTAAGGGTTCAAACAGGTAGTGAAAATCAGTAGTGATCTGTGATATTTAATTAAAAGCTCATATTGTAGCAGCAGACTGATTTATTGGCACAAACCCCGTTTCTGACTTTTATTGATATTCCTTGAGAATCAAAGAGGTGTGGTGTTGTTACACAACTCAACAACTGTCATCACTGGGTCAGAAGCTGAGGTGGGCGTCGCAGCCTGTCTGTCGGTTACCTGTCTCTATCTGAGTAATGACACAGCAAGCCTAATCCATCTCCTCCAGAGTCTGTCGCCGACGGGTGCAGACAAGCGCGCACACTCACACACACCCACAGACACAAAAAGCTTTTGCCTCAAACAAAAACCTCGAGCAGCGGGAGCAGTTCACTGCACATTTTTCATTGAAGTTTTACAAAAACGATCATCTGTATCCTGCTAATATCACTCTATGCAGAAGGAGAAGAAATCCCTGACTTCACTTCCCACTGGCTCAGAGTGAGAGTTAAATCTACTGACTACAACTTCATTACACAAACGTAATATGAACAAAAAGAAAGGTTTATGACAGCAGCAGGGCAATCACTGCTTTAACAGCCAGCAATCTGGAAGAGTATATAAAGCAACATTCAAACCTAATGGTTTATATGATGGCATAATGACAATCACTTAAAAAAAACAGTCATAAAAATAAATCCATTTACCTCTGCTGATTGCGATTATAAAAATTCTCATTACTTTTTACAGGCTTTATCTGAACAGGGCTCACCGTTTTCTGAATCGAGTATTTCAGAAGCGTTGTCTGCTTGGCTTTCTGATTCAGCCGGAGGCCTGAAACAGCAGAAACACAAGCACGTGTCAACATTACGTGAAAGTTATCTTTTAAAATCTCGAGCTATAATCGAGACTTTTCATCACATGAAACAGCTGAAGTAAATGGAAAACATGAAAACTTTATGAACTTGAAGACTTTTGACTGCTTCACAAGCAGAGTGCAGACTATATGCATTTAGAACAGCAACAGACAGAACTCATTTGTAGTACTGTGCAAAGGTCTTAGCCCAAGTATCGTGGCAAAGCATGCACCAGTGTGTCTGTTACATGACATCAGGTCGAGTTATCCTGAGCAACAGGTCCACAGCTTGTCTGAAAGTCTTTCAAACAATATTCTTTTGGACATTAGTCTCTTTTTCTCCATTTTCAGTCAGTTTTGTTTTTCAGCGCGACAGTGATTTGAAATAAAAAAAAAGCATACACGGATATTTAAAAAAAAGAGAGAAAAACACACAATGAACCAATAAATCAGTCATCGACTGGCCCCCCCGAGCCTGGACAGCAACATTAATGAAGTGTGGGTCACCTTAACAGCAAAAGGAACAAAAGGCAGAAACATCCAAAGAAAGGCTTTGAATGTTCCTCAAGAAGCCTGGCAAACTATTCCTGAAGACAACTTACAGAAATCACAAGAAAGCTGCCTAAGAGGCTTCAGGCTCTGTCAAAGAGGAACGGTGGTCATATCAAAAATTGACTTTCAAACTGTTTACCTCATTGATAGTATTGGCATGTATCAAAATGTGAAGGGTTTTCACATCACTCTAACTAAGAGACAAACGTCATCCTTGACTGGAGACAGCAGTTGAAACCATAATGAAATAAATAAGAAAGCCAACTATGGCTACGAAGAACAGCTCAACTTTTACAATCAATCAAGTTATGTTAAAGACACGAATAAGGCAGAGATTTAAAAAAGCTAAATAATGTTCAAAAGGCAAATACATGTTGGAAATGTTTAGGCAGGAGTAAGGATAAACAAATCCATTCAAACAACCTAATTCACTGAGTTAATCCTAATGGATTAAAAGATTATAAATAAAATAGAAAATAAGGACAAAGTGCAGGCTAACAGTACAAACCCAATTATTATGTAAACATATTGGATTAACTGGTGATATCAGTCACTAAATGACTCAAATGAAAGACATTGAGAAAGAAGTTGGGTTCTTTTGTAAGTCTGACTGGTCTGTGGGTCAGATAAAAAGGTTAATAAACGCTCTTGATGCAAGCTCAAGAAAGTTCCAGACGACATTAAGTGGCATACAGGTATTGCCCCTCATTACGACCTCATATAAAACCAGAGAGAGCCAGAAAGTGTGGCTTAGTTAAAGTTATATGATACCGATTATTAATTAAAGTCAAGAAGGTGAAATATGGTAAGAACCACAAAAAGTGACTAAAATCGCCAAAACAGCTGTTTTACTCACATATTGTTTTGAACATTGCTGTCATGTGCATCATTATTTTGGAAGTCGAGGTGTTTGGCAGGGCTGTTCTGATTGGAGTTGGACTCAGGTAGCCTGGGCTCGCTCTCTGGTGTTGAGGGAGAAGTAGGAGAAGCAGATATAGGAGAGGAAGGAGCAGAGGTAGCAGCAGCAGCAGCAGCAGGGGCTGCTTGGTTCCTGTTGTGGAAAACAGCGTTGCAGAAGGCAATGGGCTGATCGCTGAAGCCTCGGATAAAGAAGGGGTTGGAGGGAGAGCAGACTGGGTAGTGGCCAGGACGTACAGGCTTGGCTGTAAGTGATAACAGAGAACAATGTATTGATTGATTCACTCATCCATTAAAGCCAGACATATTTAATTTGCCCTACAGGATGCTTAAAGCCCAACACTGAAAATATATTAATGTAAAGCGAAATATCACAGATAGTCTTGTTTGCTGTGCTTTAATCCTCGAATGAAAATCATTATGCTGAAAGCGCTCATTTAAATCAATAGCTCATTTTCTCATTACAGCAGCACATGCATCTGAGTTGAAGTAGCAAGCTAGTGATCAGACTGAATTACACTGTTATTCTAATGTTTCGCATTTCTTTCAGGAGAATATGCCTCCCGCGTAAATCCTTAGAAGCCCAATGTTCCACCAACTGTTACATTCTTTCATTCAAAAACTCTCTCGACAGCTTTTTGTTTTGTTTAAGTAAATTCTTTTCTCATTTCGGTGCAACGTAAACAGTCCTTTGCATATCTGTGCGTTCCACAGCAGGAGAATTCAGTTACATGCATGTTTGCTCCCTGAATATGAAACAAGATTGGAAGAGGAAGAAAAGGGCATCAGCTCGATCATGCAGGTTGTGAAAATGTGGTGATATGTTAAGAGGAATGTAGGAAGGAGACAACAGATGAGTAGAGCAGAGAGGGCAAAGCACACAATGGATGCTGCTTGTGGGAAAATCTCAACAGGGACGTGAAAAGAATGGCTGCACAATGCTGAACGATTTTTCTCACATGCTGCATTACAAAGGAAGCGATCTGATGGGAGGGAGATGAAACGCACAACGGTGTCTACATGTACAACATCACACATGTAGTGCTGGAGAGGATATACATACTATATCCTTCCTACAGTGCAGCCAAAGGAAGTGGCATGGGCTTTGCATGCATTTTCCCCCCTTATTTTATTGTTGAATTTGGGGCTTATGCATCACATCATAAAAGAAAATTAAACTGACTTTTAGATTTACCACATTTGAGTGGATTAACTGACATGTTCTGATGAATTGGTTGATTTAAATTCAATGTTTTTCAGGTGCTGTGCTGCCCAATTACTGAGAAACAGCTTTCATATGTGTCTCTGAACTGTTATGAAGCGATGCAGTGGCTGTGAATTTGCTGCAGACTAAATGATTGGATGCATTTTACAGCTACCTACAGATTAAAAGATACTGCAGTGTTAAAGCAATCGCAAAGCTTTTACAGAAATGACACATGCAGCACTGTCATGTAATTTCTAGCAGACTGCGGTTGTTATTTTGAATCTGTGAGCAAGTTGTATACATTACCGATGAGCGCAGCATGGGGTCGGCGGAAGGGAGCGCGGGCCCTCATCACATCTTTGATTCGCTCCACTTCCTGTTGGTAGCGATGGCGGTCCTTCATGGCTCCTTCTTTTGCTTCCTTCAGCGCACCCTCGAGCGCCTTAACTCGCTCAGCTGTAGACCGAAGACGTTTCTCCAGTTTTGGAAGCTCGCAGCGCAGATCTGCATTGTCACGTACCAGCTGTAACACAAATCCGACATGTGCAAAAAACAAGCTATAACTACAGAAAGACAGTTATACATTTTCTATGATTCAAAGCACTTTCTTGCTACAGGCCTCCACTCTCACACACTCACACTCTGATGAATGCACCAGGGCAGCTCAGGGTTCAGTATCTTGCCCAAGGATACCTTTATAAGCAGACTAAAGGAGCAGGGGATCAGTCCACTGGCTGCTAATTGGTAGATGACCCATTTTACTTCCTGAACCATTGTCTCCCCAAACAGTTGCTCGTATGTTTTGCAATGTAAGATTTTTCTTTTACTAAGAATATAGTGCAGAGTACAAAAAGTGGAGCATAGGAAGTGTGTGACCATAACGTCCATTTCAGATCAGTTAGGGTCAAATGAGTGCAGTGGGGTGGAACAGAGAAACATCAAGTGTAACCTGAAAATTGTACCAGGAAGAGACAGCCCACAATTGCACCAGTGTTGTAAAAACTACTTCAGTCTGAACTCTCCTGAACACAGAGCCAGTCTATCAGAAATCTACAACCGGGAAAAAGTAGGACAACTCTGTTAAATCATCTCCATTTAAGTTTCTGTTTTGAAGTAAAATAATGGGCCTGAACACAAACAGAAAAATGAATGAATGAATTAATGTTTCAAGGTATTTTAGAGGGGACCAGCATGGCAGCTGTTCCTCTACACCTCAGATCTCAGCAGAGCCTCAAAACATCATGAGAATATGAATTAGCCTAAGCATAGAAGGGAAGAATAGACTCACAATCCTCTTGAATATTGTGCAGCTTTGATGAGCAGATGCTGTAAACAGTTGCGTGACATTATGATAATCATCATTATGATTTTCCTAAACATGTATTAAATCCATGGGTGTAATGGATCTTTTAAACTGGGTATATTTAAAGGAACCTAGTTGCTAGATGCTGATATGAGTGTCGGAGCTGTTGTTGGATCTTTGGATGTCCATGACACATGAGGCAATCTGTGATCTGATTTTCACTTGGTGGAAATGTGCATGAACAGTAATACGGAGACGAGTTGCTCTAACTTGCAGTTGTGCCGTTCTTACAGTAGCACCCCACCCCTGCAGCACTTTCAGCAGGATATTGTCTGACCCCACACTGCCAGAGTACTGCAGGTCTTTCTGGATCAGTAGTATATAACCAGAAATTCCCCGTCCAAGCATTTAGTCTCAGTGTGACTCCTAAAAAACACAACTGGGACATGGAGGGTCGATGCCACTGTACTCAACCAGGAACAGAGAGCAGCTCCTGATAACTGATCCAGACACCTGTGCAGTCCATGCACAGACAGGTGGCTTCTTGCATCATTCCAGAGGTGGCCATACCTTGTATTAAATATTCATATATATCAGCCTTGGCCTAGAAAATCCACATCTGCACTTGTCAGTTAATATTATAATGTGCCTATATTTCTGAAGTTATTATTTATGAAGCTAAATCAACACGAGGATGCAATGATTTAAATCTGCCTCATGCTGCATGTTTCCTCTAAACGCAAAAGTTAATAAGTGAGCACCTAAACACTGACAGTCTGCTTCTGTGTGATCATGCAAACTAATCCATACCCTGCAGAGATAATGAGCACTATAGCTGAGATTTTTTCACAATGGGCAAAGTTATCTAGCAGCCAAAGCATTAATGTGTCTGGGATATTCACCTGTGGCTTGTTGGTGTTAGTTTGTTTGCTGGCGAGATATTTTAGTGACGATTGCTCGGTTTTTACAGTTGACGGACAGACAGAGATGATTAAATCTGTGCAGCGGCAGAGAAACTTGCAGCTTTGGTGTAGTGGCCACTGCCCATTTGCAAGCATTATCACTTTACTGCTGATTTATGACCATGACTTTCACCTTCCATTCCCACAGTATCAGCAGGTGGTGGATGGGATGGAGTCTCCCAGCAGCCACTTTAGGATTGGTTTTCTGCCTGACAAACTGCTGCACTGCAGCTTTCACCAATCTGCCAGCCTGCAGAACATTCAGCACATCCAACACTTAGTCCACGGAGGTAGTCCATTTAGGAATATTAAAAATATGAGGTGTGTGCGTATGTTTATGGCTTTCTGAGAGCAAGGTTGGTTTTCAGAGTTTGTGTGGAAGCCAGAGTGTGGAGAAAAAACCGAGAATGCCTGTTTGCACCTGCATCAGGAGTGTTCAAGTCTTACTGTTTTATACAGTGAGGCGTCCTTTCCCTGGAGACAGAGGGGGGGGTTAACAAATCCTGCTGCTCTGTTTTCAAGGAGACTTTCATGTGAACTTGGTGTAGTGAGATGATCGATCGTGCTAGCGTTTCTTTTGCCCACAGGAGAGAAATGACAAACAGTGCACACAGCTCTGTATTTGAATTTGTCTGTGCCTCTTTGTCCGCCGCACATATTCATCGTAGACATTTTTTGATTTACTGCTGCAACCCTGCAGAGGGGAAATCAGGCCCCCTGGTCAAAGGGAACCTGGTCATTGGTCTTAATTTTCAAACTAGGTGTGGACAGGTCAAATGTTTCCTGTTTCTGTCACTATAAATTAAAGTTTTGTAGGAGCTGTGTGCTGTTACCTGTTTGTGGACCTTTGTAAGCTGGTCCAGGTTGTTTTCAAGAAAGGAAATCTTTTGTTTCTGGGTGATGTATCCGCCAGTATCATCAGGCTCCATCTGTGCACTCTGTCGATTAAAAAAGGAGATGAAATAGAAAATAGAATAGAAAATGTCACCGTAACTCTAGACAGAACCACCTGTTTCTATGTGTTGAGTAAAAGGGTTTAGTTATGTCTCTTACTTTTCTAACTCGAGTTGTGAGGTCTTGAACGAAAAGCTTGCGGAGGTTGTGCAGGGTGTGGAGCTCACGAGCCTGCAGTGTGAATAAAGGAACAGAGAAAATAGTGCAGTTAAAGCAGTTCGAGAGGACTGAGTCGTTGAATCGTGACAGAATTTATTAACTTACAACAGTTTCCTCCAGGCCTTTCAGATCCTGTTTTGATTGTTCGTGTCGTTCATGGAGGAATCTATAGTCAGACAGATAAATGCTCAGACACAGACGCATAGAAGAGTCAAACTGAACTTCTCTTTATCCAAACGATTACCAAATTCTTGCCAGAATAATTCATGAATAGAGAACAAAGGCAGCACATAATGCCTGCCCCACTCATGGGCTGTTATCCATCTGCCATCTGATGCAATATGCTGCAAAGGTCAGAGTAGAAAGAGGCCTATTAGCTGCCAGCTGCCACCTTATTCTGAAAGTCCATAATGGAGATGCAAAGAGAGTCAGACAGGAAGAAAAGGACCAAGAGAGGAGCAGGCTAAGAAAGAGTTAACAGCAGAAGAGTAAGATACTGTAAATAGAATTCAGTCAGAGCTCCCGAGCGTGAGGAAAATAAATAGACAAAAGGAAGACAAATGACAGAGAGAAATGGAAGACGCAAATCAAAAGAGGCAGCTCAGCTCGCCCCCAGGCCTCCATATGGTGAAGTGTTTGAAAGCCGGCCAGGACAGTAAAGCAGCAACTCACGTCAATTCCTCCAGCTGCCGGCTCTTGTGATGCTCTCGGCTTCTGAGACGTTCAAAGTCACTGTGCAGTTGTTCTAGCTCCAGCTGCTGCCTCTGGTTACAACTGAAAAAAGGTGTTAAGTGACTCAGTCGTGACATCTTTTATATATTACCTTTTTATATTACAAAAACACAGGGATGTAGATATTAGCAACATAAGCACAACCCTTGGGATTTTTGGAGGAATGGAATTAAAAAAATGGAGGTTAGTTTTGTTTCTAAGGCAGAGAGAACAGCGAGTGAGCTGGAGATTGAAGAGTGAGATGCACTGATGAGAAAAAAAAAGAATGAATAAGAAAGGACACATTTGTATTTTCTGATTGCTCCACAGTAGTTCTAAAATAAAAAATAAATACATTTGCAAAATGCTCGGGGAAGATTGGGATGGGATGCTACCTGGTCATTAAGTTTTTATTGACTCCTATTGCCACAAGCTTCATGCTATTATTTTCTCTGAGCCACACACCCACACCCCAAAGATTGATGCCCAACAACTTTTTTTTTGTTTAATCATCTCTAGCAAACACTTCCAGTGAGTCACCGGTGATGATCACGTGCATACTTTACAAAAATCCCACATAGTATGCCTTTAAGTGTTCTTAGCTGCTTTTAACTGGTTTCCTTCTGATTTTATTTAATTAGGGTATCCTTACAAAACCTTTCTGTCACATGAGAAAAGAGCTGTCTGTTCCAGTCCCAGGCATATGGCTCCAGCTCAGTGGTGTGCACAGGAGCAAAAATGATGAAGAAGCACCATTAGTGCATGCAGTGTAAGGATTTATTTTTGCCCCTAATTCAAATCATGGCTGTACTGGCCAGACAGGCATTTTGGCAGAGCAGAGGGGCACTTAAGTAGCCCAAGTGTGTAATTAGGTCACAACTAGAGCATTGAAATGCCCCATTAGAGTATGGACACAACATATTTTTCAGTGGCACTTACCAAAAAAAGGGTGCACACCTGTAAACACTTGCATTTGCGTGTGATCCTTGCAATCTGCACTACCATTTAATGTATACCTACTTTTTGACATTCTCTTTAAAGGATCCGGAGGGCATCCCTGCTCCTGTTTTATATGCGTTCCACCTCACCGACATCCATCCTTCCGATCTATTTTAAAGCTGCTTATCCAAATCAGGCTGTGTGAGCAGGATAAGCAGAGCAGCACCAAATGTCTGTTCAAACTGAAATTCTCTGCAGCTGCTCCTTGGGTGTTAACAGATACTCCCAGGCCAGCTGGAAAATGTACTTTAGTCCCTAGAGAGGGTCTGCCCAGTGGTCTCCTCCCAGATGGCCACGCTTGGTGTAGTACATCATCAGAACAAGGTACCTGAAGGGATAGGTTTTCATTTAGGCCAAACCAGGCCAGTGGCTCCTCGCATTGGGGTTGTAGCAGCTTGGCTCTGCAGCTTCCTGACCATGTAAACCACCCACACGTTTTCATTTCAGCCAGTCTGAACATTGGGGCTTAGACCGTGTTGAAGGTTTGAGAGATACTGAAAACATGTATTCCCAGTTTGAGCGTTTACAAACCACTTATGAGGGTAAAATTGAATTTCAAATTTGAGCATGCAGCTGTGTTGCTGTGGTACGGTAAGTCGTCTCCCTTAGAAAACATTCATGGCCTATATTTCTGCAGTGCCACGGTCTCAACGACTGAAAGAAATATTTTTCTATAGCATCCTTGTGATTTTTCTGCTGGAACGATTTGATTCTTTAACTTAAAATACTTTTCTTTTCAAACTCTTGCACAAGTTACAGATTTCCAAAAACTGAGTCTTGGTTTTGAAAAGTAAAGAATTTACGGTGAAGTACTCACTCAGTTAAGTCATCGATGATCTTTTGCTTCTCATTGATCTCGTCTCGCAGGCGGCCCAGTTGTTTGCTGTGCACCTCACGGTGTGACTCCATCTGCTGCTCCAGAGCCCTCTGGGGTATTGGCGACAGAAGGGGGGAAGAGACAGATCGAGTATCGTAACACGGGAGTCAGAGGAGAACAAAGTGACTAAATAACGAGAAGAAAATTACACGGACCGGTGCACATGTGGACATGCCAAACCACACGGGCATTAAACACAAACTTACACACCCCACGGTGTCCATACACTACCACTGACGGGACTGTGAGACTCGGCTACTGAAAGTGGAGCGTGACACACACAGGAACGCTCACACTCGTGTGCTCTCGATGCTCTCACGAACACATCCACAAATACAAGCAGATAATGAAAACAACAAACAACGCCAGCTGTTTAAAAGTGTCTGGCAGCTGAAAACTACATCTGTTTACTTTTATTTGGGAATTTGGCATCGCTGGAATTTCATCCTTCATTTCTGTCAAATCTTTTGACCTTGTAAAGATGTGCTGCTTTTTAGGCAAATCTCATTTTGATCAAGTCATTATGAATCTTTGTGGTTTTCAGTCACTTAATAGTTTGACGGCTGAATGTGAGGATACTCTGTGGCTGTCCTGTGGCCATGCTTCCTGTAACCATCTGATATTTGAGACTTCCTGTTTTGCTGTTTGCAGTTAATTGTTCAGGACACATGTAGATAGATTTACATTAAGATGCAAGACTAAAACATCATTGGATGTTCCTCTGACTGCTTTTTATTCGTTGTTTTGCATTCCCTCTTTTGCCTAGGCCTTGGTTGTGATTGGTCACTGGTATTTGGACTACAAACTGACCACAAACAAAAAGCAAACAGCTTCCAGTACTAGAAATATTGCCCATTGCCTACAGATTCGTCACATTCATATGCCGATATCTGCTTTTCATATTACCACTCGATGATTGTGAATGATGTAAAATGCTTCTAGGGGCCAGAATGACAATCAATAATCTGTGCAGCCACTACCTAACAAACTATAGCTGTTCCAGAGGGCAGTGAGTTATCATTTCCTTGCCGAGCTTGCTATGATTGCGTCTTTATTCTAAATTAAGGCAATGAGTTGAAAGCTGCAGTGTCTGAATGATTGTACAGACATCAAATTGTCATCTTCTTATCAACACTACCAATAAAAGGGGTTGAAAGCAAATTTCTGAATATATGAAACAATTTCTTTAGTTTATTAAATCATTCCTACAGTCATTTACACACTTGAGTCCAACTACACGTGCAGTCACAGGCAAACACACACCCCGCACACGCACACCTGCAGTTAGCTGAGAGGGTGCGAGAAAAGGTCATCACATCAAGTTGCTCTCACTGTAGTCATGGTTACCTTTATATCACAGGAGTTCTGGGCAGACGTGTGATTCTCCCTCCTGGTCACTTGTGACATGCTCTCTGAAATAAGCACACACACAGAGAAAGAGCGAGAGGATGGCGGTAAGAGGAGCAGATAAAAGCGGCGCGCACAGATGTTGATGATGGTGACCTGACTTTGACAGCACAGCAGTATCACTACTTCATGTTGACAGCGAAGGCAGCGTGATCTAAGTGATGTCTCGGGTGTGATAATATCTATCTGCAAATGACATCTATTGTGTCATGCAGATCTGATATTGACTCACTGCTGTTCCTGGTGTCTGATGATGAAATTACCGAGCGCTCTACCTCAGACCACACCGTGCGATCAACGTGACCTGCAGCACTTTGTGTTAATCTGCTTGTGTTATGGCTTGAGGACCGTCTGACTCGACTGCTGAGCAGGACTAAAATTGATTTCCCTGCCCTTAATTCCACTGGTTATTTAATGCCATTCTGTGAGACTCCATGGGAAGAGTGACTTACACTAGCTTTGGCCTTATTTGGGAATTGCGTCAGTGTACTGTGGGAGTATCTACAGCTGGACCTTGCACGAGTTTCAAATGTAAAATCAATCTATTAGTGCTGGTGTTGTGAAATGTTTGGGAGCTTAAGCTTTTTTGTGTTCTTGTTTTTCTTTTGCTTGACAGGACAGAAAGGCCTCTGGAAGCAACTGAAGCTCTATTAAAGATAGCAACCTGAAGCTACTTCCTCCCATTTCTAGCCCAGAGACACTAAAATGCAGCAACATATTTTCTGTCTTCTCACTATTTACTTTGTCCTGACGTTATTTGGCTTGACTGAGTCAGAGCACTGACATTATATTTAACTCCGGCATTTCACATCAGTAGTGGATTAATCTACTTACTTTGCAGTCAGTCCCGAAATGACAGCGTCACCACGTATCACTTTAACCCCTTTAGGATATTTGTTAATGAAAAATATGCATTTATTAGAAGAAAACTCTCTTGCATTTACTTCATTTGAGTTTATATTGAGAAAAGACCTGTTTTGCTGACAGTAAAGATTGGCTTCACTCCTGGAAACTTGTGTTTGGCTCTATTTATTGAGTGTAAATCTGTCATTTTTCTGGTCGGACCATATTGAAATTTTCTTCACCAAAGAGTCTGAATAAATACTAAATTCTTTGCTCCCCGTTTGCTATTTTGCTCTCGTTGGTAAAACATTTTAACTTGAGCCTAGAGCAATCTATTATAAAAAGGACTTACACTTGCCAAATTGAACTAATAGTGACTGGCCTCAAATCCTCAACTCCACCGAGTATTTCAGCAACATGTGCTCGTACACTTAGGCTCCAAAACTTGTCTAACTGACCAAGTCTCACAATCTTATATCCACCTAAAAAGTCTTTTTGATTTTGTTTTGAGAGTGAAATACTAGCAAGAGCACAACGAATAAGATCTTTTGAGAATATATGTCTGTTATTTCTTATTTAGTTTATAAACCCTAAAACTAGTTACTTTCCCTGCATATTAGGCTCATTTATATCACCAAGACACTATTTGAGATGATATTGTATCTTAGACGTCCCAAAAGGCTGATTCTGTTTATCTGGACGTAGCGTTTTCAGCGGGAGAAACGTTTCGTTACTCATCCAAGTGACTTCTTCAGTGTCAGCTGACTGCAGGTTTCCCCAACTTTATAAACACTACAATGATTGAAACTAGCACCACTGAATGAACATTGGGCTGTGAGGTCAGTTCCTCGATCATTAATATGCACATTTTCATGACCATTGATCAACAACCACTGATGAAATCCCATTAATCAATGGTCTTTGATCAATGAGTACCATTCACAGAGAGTTGGGGAATGGCTGCGATCACAGCACTGTATCTTAAAAGCATTTTTTAGCTGTGAAATCATTTTACAAGCCCTCCCAGTAACAGTTCACACACTTAGACTTTTGTTGTACAAACCCTAACAGCATGAAGGTGCTGGTATCCTGTGGGTTCTCCCCCCACAGTCCAAAGTTATTCAAGTTAAGTTAATTGCTGATTCTAAATTGATCATGTTTGTTAGCCCTATGACAGACTATTGACCAGAAGAAGCATCTTGTTCAGTTGCTCTTGTTCTAAGATCATTTCTCTCAAAATGAGAATGAAGCAACGCCAAAGGTTTATGAAGCACTTGTTATGAGTGTGTCAACACTTCTTTTAAGAGATTTCTCACTTGACTAAAGTTTAGACATTTTTTTTCTCATTTCAAGAAATCTTACCAAGTGTTATTTTATTATTTTACTTGATTATAGTCTGGATTGTCTCAAATTACATATTTTTTCCTTATATTTAGCCAATTTTTGCAGTGTATTTAGTGATACTTATCTCTGTAGGCTGCTCACTTACCATTTTAGTGCAGACAAAAATACGATGCTGCTGTTTATATTGTCACTTTCATCATCATCAAAATCTGTGTTTCTCCACTGCATTAGATCATGACCAATCACCAACTCTAATATACTAAACTAAAATGAGTAAAATGCTTACCTATTATGCTGATTTCTTACTCTGTATTGTTTTTTATGCACACAACTGAACATGTTTAAAATAGTCGTTATTATCAATGCTGTATTATCTTAGATCAACCTCTGTCTGAAATAAGGAGTTTGCCTCCTCTCCTCTTATGGCCACGCTCCCTTCAAGTTGACTTTCTTCTGACTGGCTGCCTCTAACAAACAGAAGGTTGGAACCACAGGTGGGTGGTGCTTCTGTGTTCACAGGCAGCAATGTGGTCACAAAATTACCATACCATACCATCATCAGGTGTAACCATCAGTAGAAAAAACAGTTTAAAGCTTGATCCTTTGGCTCACATTTGTAAAAATGCTGACCTTATTATCTGAAATCTGAGAACTTCCAACACCTCAGCGACTTTGAATTTGATAAGCATTTAAAGGAAATTGATGGAGTCACTGTATAGTGCAGCAGAAAACTGAAACAATCTTTCAGTTGTGGATAGTGTCAAAATTGGTTTTCCCTCTAGAGCCATGAATTTCAAAAATCCTGTTAACCACTTGAATTTTCAAAATTTCGAAATGTGCCAGTTTGCCCATTATTTCCAACTAAAGAAGCATTTTTTACTACAGAATTTCAACCTCCAGACACATTTCAGAGGTTTTACTTCTGATTTATAATCCAAGTCAAATTCCTATCTTAAAAACTCTTTGTTTCAAGTAAAACAAAATAACTCCAATGACACGTATGTTACATGTTCGTGTTCTGTGCTCTGCCCTCTCCTAGTTTAGTTCTTAGTAAATGGACTGTAATTTACAAAAAACACCTTTTTACCTACAACCTGCATACGCATACATCTTTAAACCCAGATGGAGGTAACAGAGGAGACTCTTCATCTCCCCAATACTTCAACATACAAATGCAAATGTCAGCAGATGTGACTGAAACAAACATTATTAACTGTACTACTACACACCACACCAGTGATATCTAATCATTAAAAACACAACTTCTAAAGTGTACTTCCACATGGTTGAATACGTATGATTGAACGATATGATAATTCAAAAAGGCAAATCAAGTTTATTTGAAAAAAAAATGTTTGGCTAATGAGCTTTATTTAAAAAAAGTAATCACAAAAGAGTAAACGTACCAGTTTAGATACTTGCGCTGCTTCACTAGTGTGGGCTATAACAAATGTACCTTGAGCTTGGAGTTTAGCCAGCTCCGCAGTCAGAGAATCATAGCTGTCCTCCAGCTGTCTCTTCCTCAGCTCCACGTTCTGCATGTACTCTGTTAGAGAGCGAATCTTCACTTCGTGCTGAAAGTCAGAACATCATATGCAAAAAGTTTAGTGACGAGCAAAGACCTCTACCCACGAGGACACTTTACATCAAGGATAAAATGCACTTTTACTTTTTGTTCAATGAATATTTATGTTCTCTTGTCACCGGGGAGTGTAGTTTAAATACCACAGTTAGCGAAATTTGAACCGTGGCTTCAGGCCACTACATGAACACAGAATATAAAACATGCAATTATTTGAGAATTATGACCCTGTGCAGACTAAAAATGTCCAAAGCAAAAAGAAAAATCCACCCCACAAAGAGTTGGGTCATGTTAAGATGTTGGGAGTAGCTGCACTGTGTTTTAAAGCTTTTCAGCCTTTATTATGGCAGGAAAACTGGGAAAAGACATGCAGCAAATGGCTCAGGCTAGATTTGAAACCAGGGCTTTAAGACACATGGGTCACCTGCCCAAGCCGGTGAGCCTTTTGAAGTGTTAATTGATAATGTTTCAGTATCAGTATCACCAGTATTTCTGTCTAGTACCAGATGAACAAACATTTGTACCCACATATCATTTTATTTTAGTTCCTACAGTTCATCTAGATTTAATAATTCAGTTCAATTCAATCGATTTGGTAACCAACAACAACACATGTATCCCTCAGTTTGCAATCTTACCTGTGAAATGAGAAGGTGACATGAAGACAGTTCTCTGCCCGTCTCCTCCATCTTGCGGTGACACTCGGTTTGTAGGTTCTCCAGGTGGCGACAGCGCTTCACCATGGACTTCACCTCTGACTTTATCTTATTAATGTAGAGGCGAGCCACTGTGAACTCTTCCTCGATCGCTCCGGTGATCTCCACAGGCTGGATACGAATGAGTGCGAGGAGACAGTTAAATAAAAAGAAAAAATCAGTCTAGTAGATGCTTGATCAGGATTGAGTGGGGACTGTTTAAACACAGCATGGGCGTTAAATCAGTGGAAAGGGAAGCATCTTAGAAACACTCTGGCATTTTGTCTGCACAGCCATTAGGTTAATGGTCTCATTTAGTAGATGTAGCAACTCAGAAGCTCCGAAATGAAGTGTGGAGGAAAATGTATACACATCAATCTAAGCACTACAGATGATAGCGGATGTGCATACACGACATTCTGCATATGCGAGTGGTATACTGACTATATTGAATAATGTAAAGCTGTTGATTTAAGTCACGTCTATAAACACAGATATTTATTTTAAAAGCTCATTCAGAGCATAAATTTACATGGATGCCAAACCAATCAAGTTAAAGAGAAATGCCTGAAAAATGACACTTTATCAGCAAACAGAAAATATTCATATGCATACACATGCACACGCACACATATATATGTACGTTTTTTTAAATTTAATTGTCTCCTTTTTGGCAGATCTACCAGAGCGCTTTGTCACGGCTTTATGCCAGAAGATGCTTTGCATTTCACTTTGTTGGTATTTACTGTCTCTCTTGCTTTTACTTGCTTTCTTTATTTCCTTCCAGCCATTTGAGATTGTTTGGTCATCCCTCATTAATTTCTCATGTGGTTAATTACTTATGTGCACCGATCAAGCATAACATTCTGACTATCTATCAGAATCAACATTAACTTTTAAAAAAATAAATAGCATTAATGTTTTCAGCAAATTGAGCTCATCTGTTGGACTCGACCACATGGGTCAGCACCAGGAAGCCTTGGCCGCCCACGACTTGGACCACTTTTGATGGATACTGACCACTGCAGACCAGAAACATCACACATGAGTTGCAATTTGGGAGACTCTCTGACCCAGTCGTCTAACCATCACAACTTGCTAATATCCTCACAAAAGCCCCCCCCCTTTAACACATCATCTCTGAAAGCAAAATGTTCCCTGGTTCCTTAATATATCCCACCCACTAACAGGTGCCATGATGAAGAGATAATCAGTGTTATTCACTTCACCTGTCAGTGGTCACAATGTTTGGGGTATTTTTACTCTGGTTTTTCTCGTTGTTAGCCATCATCAGTCCATCTGTGTTCATCTCCAAAATTTACTGCCAGCGTTTTCTCTCATGTTTCCTGCGGCTGCTTTTTGAGTTGTTTTTCTTTGGACTATGTTGTCCTCAGGCTTTGCGCTTGACTAGACTCCGACAAGTCTAAATAAGCTCAACACTAAACCCTGCTTTTGTTTGTGCTTTCGGGTCTTCTTTTGAATTTCTCTGAATTCCTTTTCTACACTGATACTTAAATTTAGCTGTATATTTTCTTGCTTTGACATGAGAATCATCATTCTCATTTTACCTACACCACAGTTGTTGCTTTCATCACAAAAATGCACTCTATCCACGTCTGTACCACTCACCAACTTGATGTCCTTGTTTCCAACGATCGTGCTAAATTCACTCAGGTCCCTCATGAGCCCATTAAGAATCTCAGCAATGCGTTTTCTTTGGTGGCTGCTCACTTCCTGGATACGGGACAGCTCTGCCTCTAAAGCCATGAGATGAGCCTGCGGAGGGCGGAGTCAAGCAGATAAGAGGTGTTAGGGAGAGCCGTTGTGCTAAGGCGAGAAACTCCAGAAGGTACATGCAAATACGAAAAAAGACAGAAATTGTGTAGGACAGACTCTGAGAAGTGGTGATTAGATTCCCCGAATCTGCAAACACACATGGCTGCAGGAGCATAACATAGTAGCCACCAAATTATAAATCAATAAACTGCATGAAGAGGAGTGGATGGCATCTGCGCTCAATAACATCTGAGAGAGTACACGGTGGAGTTTACTTTATTATTTTCCATTCTGCACAGCAAGCAGATTCTAACCAGTGCTGGAGGGCAAATGTGCTGCAGCACAATGAAACCATTTGATCTCAGTCAGGTTTGACAACATAACATTAAAGACATTTCTCCTACTCACACATGTGAGACCAAGAGTTGGGTAGTAGACTGAATGACCTATGACCCTAAACAAGATGAAGAAGATGATGATGACAAGAAAGAACAGGTAGAAGAAGAAGGAGATGAAGAAGAGGAAGACTTTCCATAAAGGTGTTGTTCCAACGAAGAAATCTGAAAGCATACCGACTTGTTTATGGGGTTTCATTTTATGAGTGACTCATCTGTCACCAGTGAAATATTCTACTTGAGCAATTTTTCATGGCACGTTTTATGTTCTTGCTCCCCAGTTCATCAGTCATTTCAAAGCACCATTAGCCACCTTCTTAAATACTCCTTAATCAGCTCTTCCATCTTCATCTCTGTGATTCACTTCAAGCTCTGTTACAGTCTTCCCGGTCACTTCTCATGTCACAATGTCATCTTAAGATAAACTGAAGGTAATAATGAGCTGAAACTGATTCTTATATAAACAAGTAAAACATGGGATGATGAATAGAGTTGGTTCATTGACGTGATGAATGGGCTTAATCATGTTGATAAGAAATGGGTTTCAATGGCCAGATGGATGAATTATGGTGTTTAAAGTAGCCGATCAATGGCAGTGATGGTGAGCGATGGCACGGACACCTGCAGAAGAAGCGACAAGTTCCCACTAAAAACAAAGATGAAGGCAGCTGCGGGGATGACGGCCATGATGAATGTGCTTCAGTATTCCCAGAGCTTTTCCTATTTCTACTGTAACAACTGGCAAGACCGACGTGCCTAAAAATTCAAGATTGAGAAACATTTCCAAAAGATTTTGATGAGGGGATTTCTTTTCTCTTATAGCACCACCTGCATTTACCAGCACTGAAATCTTATTTCTTAGTTTCATATCTTGTCAAAGTCTCAGACACTCTCTGTGCAGGATCAGACAGGTCAGAGCAGAGCAGACTGGAGAGGCTATAGAGGCTATTGAGGAGAAATGAGGGCTTCAGGCAGGTTTAGCAGTCTAAATGGTGGTTCTGTTGTCAGATGCTCAATCAGCTTCTGCTCCTGAGATAGACAGGAAAAGACAGAAGGACACGTGCAGCAGACTGAAACACACTGATGAAATATTGAAGAGGATTTAATAAGAAGGTCAAATATGGTCACTTAAATCACTGAATAAGTCAGGAACTGCACAAAGCTCTGACCAGCTCTGCCAGTGGTCTCCTCTTGACTTTTATCTATTATTCACTTTATTTGTGCTGCAGAAGGACAATTAATACAGAGGCTGGGCTTATTTAAATAATGTGCTTTATGTTGCTAAAAGATTTATTCAAAAAGCCTCCTGGAAGTCAGACGCACCATTTTCTTTGAAAGCTCCTCAGCCAGGAGCTTGTTCTGCACGCTCATCTCCTCGACTCATTCTGCTCAACTCTCTGTAACACTTTCTTTCAACTGTGAGGCACACTTCCACATGACACACGTATTGTTGAATATTTAATAGGTAATAAACATCCATCTATATGGTAGGAAATTATTCAAAGCCCTCGATGTAACTGAAAAAACCTGCCTGTAAATTATCACTGTAAGTTTTCTTCTACCAGACAACGTTGTGTGCATCAGGGATATACTGCAACCAGGCTTTGATAGTTACTGCAATACTTTAACAGTTATCCAAATTGTAAATATAATCATATATATATAGAATAAGGCAGTAAACATTACAAAATTTATGGGAAAATTGCTACTTTGTGTAAGAGTATTTTAAATATTTATACAGTGTCAAATCACAACAATAGTCCCCAGAAGGTGGTTTATATTGTAAAATAAAGACGTACAATGATACAGAGATAACACTCCAACAATCAGATGACTCCACTATGACAAAGCACTTAGCAACAGTGGGAATGTTAAATGGTAAATAGCCTGTATTTGTATAGCGCTTTACACTACATTCAGTCCTCCACAAATTCACACATCAGTGATGGCAGCTACATTGTGGCCACAGCTGCCCTGGGGCGCACTGACAGACACTGGCACCATCGGCCCCTCTGACCACCACCAGTAGGCAATGGGTGAAGTGTCTTGCCCAAGGACACAACAGCCGAGAGTGTCGGAGCCGGGGCTTGAACCGGCAACCTTCTGATTACAAGACAAACTGCCAACTCTTGAGCCACGATCGCCCGTGGTTTAAGAGTTGGCACCAGGAAGGAGAAACTTCCTTTTTTACAGGAAGAACCTAGTTGGGGTGAGGAGAGACAGACATTAATAATAACTAAAGATTAAATACAGAGAGGTGTGTAGGCACATGGTGAGTGAAGACAAAGCACTCAGTGCATCATGGGAATCTCCCAGCAGTCTACACCTATTGCAGCGTAACTAAGGGAGGATCCAGGGTCACCTGATCCAGGCCTAACTATATGCTTTAGCAAAAAGGAAAGTTTGAAGCCTAATCTTAAAAGTAGAGATGGAGTCTGTCTCCAACACTCCTGAATCTAAACTGGTAGTTGGTTACAAATCTGAAGGGTCTGCCTCACATTCTACTTTTAAATACTCCTGGAACAACAAGTAAACCAGTCTGAAAGTGAGAGAATCTACTGGTGTGAAATGGTACCATGAGGGTTTTAAGATAAGATGGTGTCTGATTATTCAAGACCTTGTACCAGAGTGTAGTTCAGTTTAACAGGAATCCAATGAAGAGATGCCAATGTGCTACAAATGTTGTTTCTCCTTCTCTGTCTTTAAGTATATTTATTAGCAGTTTAACAGTCAATGTCCCTTCTTCAGCAGGACTGTGTAGGTGTGGTTTGACTCAGAGTCAAAAAATAGCCTACCTATCTGACGGGTTCATAGAAATATGAGACATTATGTGTGGCTGAACCCCACCCACATCTAACCAGTGAGAAGAGAGAAAAAAACGTAAAAACAGAAAGTTCCCATCACACAAAAGCAAGATATTTTCAGACCATGACTACTGAAAACACAGTCACTGGAAGGTCTCGATCCAGAAAGGCTGGATGTCTTTGTTACAAAAAAATCAAAGATAAACTAAACTTTAAAGCGTTGTGACTGTTTTCTTCAAGTAAACAAGCTTTTCTGTGAAAAATACATTTAATCAAGCAAAGTCAGAGCTGTGCTCTCTGTGGAGAGTCATAGTGCACGACATTGAACCAGCAAAAAAAAGAGAAAGAAAACAAAAGAAATCCCAATACTTCACTTTTTCTTTGTTATCTTCATGGTAAATGGTAAATGGCCTGTGTTTATATAGTGCTTTACTAGTCCCTAAGGACCCCAAAGCGCTTTACATATCCAGTCATTCACCCATTCACACACACATTCACACATACTGGTGATGGCAAGTTACATTGTAGCCACAGCCACCCTGGGGCGCACTGCCACCATGACCACTGGTGGCACCATTCATCAGAATTTTCTTCTTATCTTTTTTACATGCAGCTTTAATTTTACTTATCTCACTAATTGCATTTTGAACCAGTAGCTCAGCATATTGTAAGATGGAGGCTTAAATGAAGAAATGATTTTATTACAGAGAGTTCCTTTTCTACTTTTTTTTTGCAGTTTGCTTCCTTGTAAACACACCAAAGCACAACATCTGTCCATGATCTATTTCTTTATTTTAGCCACAGAACTTTGTTGCTAAAAGATTTATTCAAAAAGCTTCCTGGAAGTCAGACCCACCATTTTCTTTGAAAGCTCCTCAGCCAGGAGCTTGTTCTGCATGCTCTTCTCCTCGACTTCTAAGCTTTTCTGGTCATAGTTGACCGCCAGCTCCTCCAGGGCCTGAAGAACCTCTTTTACTTCGGCCTTTGCGGATTCATTCTCGGCCTGCAGCCTGCCGAGCTCCGACTGCACCTTCTCACTGTCACCTCTGGACGATGCGAGAAGCTGAGGGGCAAAGACATTCGACTTATTGCAAACTGTAAATAGAGAAAAAACTATTTTAAAAGTGGAACGGTGAAACTTCCCTGCTGAGCGCTCGCTTCATTATTTACAGAGCAGAGCTGCTGGGTCTTAACAGAGTTATCCTGTTTTCTGGCATAAAGAGCTAAATGTCTGCACAAACCCTGTCACACAATATTCAAGCAACTGTACAAAAGAATAATTTAAAGATTGAGAGATGGCTTTTGTGCCACCATGCTGTTTGCTGCACTGCTGCAGCCCACTGTGGGTCATTTCACTGAATGGAAGCCATTAAATGTAGATGTTCTCCGCTTGGAGTGCCGGCATATTTGCACTGCAGCATACGACTTTTATTTAGATAAATGAATGTAACTTTGCGTTACTATAAACAAACCACGGTTGGGTAGTTAGGACTGTGTCAGTTCAACCCGCAGCAGGACCATTTGGGAAATGATTGAATGAATTAAGTCCTTTTCATCCCAAAGCCTTTTTTAGGTTCTCTTCCTCAACAGTTTAGCCTCTCCTATGAAAACACGCTGCAAATATGTCTCTTAATTGGGTTTTAATGGAGTCTTTTAATTGCTGTTCTTCCTACAAGTACTGATTTACTTACTTGCAGCAGATATTTATGTGATGAAGTGACAATTATAGATCAAATCCCTAGAGAGCATGTTTATTTGTCAGCAGCAATGTTCAGTCATGTCAGCAAAAAACAACAACAACAATCATTCCCCGTGTAAAAGTTAGGGAGCAATTTCTAAAACGAATACTTAACAAGCTTCAGTCATTCTTCAGTCTTTTCATCGATTCTTTTCTGCGCTGTTCAGCCACTTAATTCTATTCTAGATTAAACCACTGCTAGCATGTAGAACACAGCAACAGTGATACACTCACAATTAAACAATGACAGTTTAATTTCTTCAAGTGCTTTTTGGCACCTGAAAGGATTTTTTCTGTCAGTAATCTCACGGGCAGGATAATAAATGTCTCACAGCTGACTTCTATTCACAGTGTAGTTTTCATTTCCACATTCAAAGACACTGCAGCCCACCGTGAGCTGTTTAACCAAACTGATGAAAGGAAATAAAACCAAGATCCTTTACCTCCTCCTGGTCGAGCATCTGCTCCTTCAGCTTCTCCACCATCTGGCTCTGGTGGTTGATCTCGTCATCCTTTAGTGGGAAAGACACACACACCCACAGTCGTATTATGTGTTCAGTTTCCATTCACAACTATACGCTTTAAACTTACAATAGACGACAGCTGCATGTTGGACCGGATACCCATACATCTTTTTTTCACCATAACTGGATCTGCCACTGTGCGCACATTTTAGAAAACGAAGGCCTGATTTATGACAAAAAGGGAACGGCATCAGCAATTATATGGGCAAAATGATCGATCAGTAACCCGACAAAAGAAAGAGAGTGGCTTCATCAGCATAAAAAAAGTCAGAGTGAGACCAGTGCCCATATATAAATGACCATCAAAGTGCCTTAAACTTTCATTCTCTCTAATTCCCAGAGGTGGTGAGGTGTCTTCTTTTAAAAAAGTAATTAAATAAGAAAAATGCCCCAAAGCCCTGATTTCTGTCTCACTGGAAAAAAATACGGGCTAAAGTAATGAGCATGTTTTAATTCTAAGAACACTGCATACCTTCAGACACCTGCAAAGAAAAGTAGAAATCAGAGACAAGGCTCCATCTAGGTTACAAGCCAGACGTGTAATTACTTTATCTTATATGTGCAGATTATGAGTCAGATGAGCATATGCAAGCTCCAAGGCCAGCCTTCAGGCTCCTCATAAAAAACAGCCATTGATGAGCTTTCTTAATAATACTGCAGTACTTGTAGTTCATGTAAGGTTATTGGACATATGCAGTCCAAGGTGTTTGACTGTGGTCGGAGGCTCCACAGCTTCCCCTCTAACAAGGAGGTGAGCTCTCCTCCTGAGCAGGTTGTTGTTAGCAGCCAGAAAATAAGTCCAACAAAGACACAAACACACTGTAGATATAAGCTGTTTGCCACAGAAACAAGATCCTGGAGGACAGTGTTAGTTACACTACATATGTTACCAATATGTTACCAATGGTAACAGTAGAAACTACTAATACTGTAATCTGTGATTCTTCAGGTGTTTGATAATCTAAAGAAAACATCGTGCTTTGCAGACCAAAATGCAGAGATGGAGAACAAAACCATGCTTGTCAGGGCCCTGGGTCTGTGCGACCCAGGATCCCTGGGCAGTCATGGACTGGTGATATTATATGTATTTTTGGTGTTGCTGCTGCTCTTCTCCATGCTTGTAGATGTGAGTGTGTGTGTGTATATGGGTGCAGGTGTGTATGTACACTGGTTTACAGGTGCCTTCAGGCCTGGTGGGTGTTGCCCGGCTAGGGGACTGGCCACACCCGAAGCTACACACCTGCCGCTGATCAGGGCTCGTCGGGGGAGCTACTTAGGAGAGTCTTGGAGCTCCCACCGACGCGGGATCATTCCATGAGACTCCACGTTAGTCATCCAGTTGAACTGAGTTAGTGTGTGTATGCCCGCGGTTATATGTGTCCTGACGGCTGCGTCTATTGTGTCCCCCAGGAGAAGTGTGGAGCGCCAGACAGCAGCCAGCACGAGGGGTGCTGAGACACGGGAGCGGAGAGCACTGAGACACGGACTATTCACGGAGAGACACGACACGGGAGTCAGGGAAAGCACGGGGATTTATTGTTGTTTGTACCATACACTGTAAATAAACGCACTGTTTGTACATAGAGCACCGCGCCTGGGTCCTCCTTCCCCACACCTCCTACGGTTTGCCATGCCGAACCGTGACAATGCTGGATTTTTTTTCCAGCTAATGAAAAGCACAAAATCCACTGTGAGACTAAACAAACTCTAAAAACTATCTGAAGACAAGCAGAGAACATTAACAGATGCTGAGACAAAGACTCAGGGTAAGACAGCACTTTTTGGGCAATTAGGAAAGTGGACACAGCAGGTGCAGGTGACAATAGTTAAAGACAGAAAGAGAAGTAAAACTAAACACAATACACTAGAGGCAAGCAACTATCAAAATAAAACAGGAAATGAGACCTAACACTAAGTTATAACACAAACTAAACTAAACACTCGAAAAGGTTAAAGAACCGGGGTCATAAGAAGAGGAGGAGGATTTTTAATGCTTGGCTCTACAGAAGCTGCGGGGTCAGTGCTACCAGAGAAAAACAATAATATATATGTATGTCACATAGTGATCTGCAGCAGCTCGCACACGCCATACGAGATGATGGGACATCCGAGGTACACCGCGACTGAGTGCAATAAAAGAAAAATCCCAGGTATCTGCTATGTATACATTTGTATCCACGAATACATTTAACATATAGAATATCATGCATCAGGTCTGTTATAACTGTACCACATCAGCAGAGACAAAATAAAATATATGCATCCCCAGGGATACATGAATACACAGGGCAGTGTGTGCATTCACACAGCAAGGCATGTACAGGAAAACATGTCAGTATATGCTTCTGCATATTTAAAGGAAAAATCTAGTAATGAAAAAGTAAAATGAGACATTATAAAACCGCGTGTGTACGCAGAAGTCTTAAATAATTTAAAGCTTTAACACTTTTCAGAGTTACTACTTCCTCTGTGTTTGCTACATTACTCACTACTATGTGTATGATCCTGAACTCATTAACATAAATAATATATGCATGACACAGTCTTTGAATTAATGTGTGCATAACATTACAGAAAACGCAGCCGTGGTGTGTGAGGAGCTCTACATCCGTGCACAAATCATCCTCGTGCACTGTTCGTTCATTACCTTATCGTCTAGCTGTTTGTAGAGCTTGCGAATCTCCTCCTCGTACTTTTGCCTCTCCTCCTCAGAGATGTGAACCACAATGGAGGAGGCAATAGAGCAGGGGGTGCAAGGAGTGCAGGGGCTGCATACGTCAAGAACTGACTCCTCAGATTCTGGAAGAACCAGGGGGGCATCCTCAGATCCTTCACACAGCTGCCCCGGCACAGCAGCATCCTCACCTATACACAAGGGAAGATTTTTTCTCAGGTTTTGAAAATGTGCTGCTCTTATCTCTCCTGCAAATCCTACCGTAAGGATTAATGCATAAAATGTGATTAGAAGGTTAATCCTTAGTTTAGTAAGTGCCCCTAAGCATAATGCAGTGTGCCAAAAAATGAGTGTTCTTTACCATATAATCTGATTGAACAGCAGTGCAAAATACAATATATACACAACAGACATATTATCAAAGTGTCAGTTGGCTTGTGAGAGAAATAATTACGCAAACTCTACACCTCGTGGAGGGGACGGTAAAATGTCTGCCTGCAAGCTTAGTGCCCTCCTTTGGAAGTATTAAGAGGTTTATGACATGTCTTTATAAACAGTGAGAGCAGAAGGTTAGGTGAAAGACTTCAGTCTGTTTATTTAACAAATAGTGGGATTCTTATGTTATTAGATATGATCCTGTCACATAATTAATTACTGAACACAGTTTACTTTATATGGAAAGACAGAAAAGCTGTAAAGTATGTCCAGTGATTACAATCACTGTCCACTTTGTTAGGTACACCTGTTTAACTGCTTTTTGTCACAGTTTTTCAGTCAGCCAATCACACAGCAGCATCTCAGCGTAGAGTTGTCGGTGCCAAACAGGCTAATCTGGGTGTTTTCAGAGTGCATTTTTTCATCCCACATTGGATGGTCTGAAAAATAAGAAAGCAGAGGCTCTCTATGTGGAAATGCACCCATGCATCCCAGACTATGCAGAAGAGCATTTGAACCTCGAAGCAGATGAGCTACAGCAGCAGAAGACCACACCACTGCAGGAAACCGAGGTTACAGTTTACACAGGCTTAAGTAGAAGACTGGAAAAACATTGGCAGTCCGACGAGTGTGATAGACGGTAGGGTCAGAATTGGTGGAAACAACATGAAGGCATGAATCCATCCTGTCTTGTATCAACAGTTCAGGCTGGTCGTGGTTATGTGGTCGGATATTTTCCGCCTACTACAAATTGAGCATCATTCAGAGCCTACCTGAGTATTGTTGCTGACCCATAATGACCACGGTGCATCGATTATCTGATGGCTGCTTCCAGCAGAATAATGTACCGTGTCAGAAACTGACTTCTTGGACATCACAATGAGTTCACTATGCTCAATTGACCTCCACATTTGCCAGATCTCGATCCGACAGAGCACCTTTAAGAGGTAGTGGAACGAGAGATTCACATCATGTATGTGCAGCTGCCAAACCTGCACCAAGTGTGTGACGACATCATGTCAATATGGACCAAAATCTTTGATGAATGATTCAAGCAACTTGTAGAATCTATGCAATGAATAATTAAGTCATCTCAAGGCAAAAGGGGAGGGGTGTACCTAGTAAAGTGCCCAGTGCTTGTATTTTTTAGGGTTAAAAAACAGACGTAAATTAAGAAAGAATGAGTTCTTTTTGAACTGGATTGCAGATTCTGTGTTGCAGTGACCACTTTTCTCCGACATGTATGTGTAAACATCTTGATGCAGTTGAAAGAAGAGACTTTGTTACTGCTGACTGATTTCAGAAGCTGACTACGTCTGCCTCTGCAAGGCTTCACTACAGCACTCATCTGACTAATTAAAAGCACGATAGGTAGCTCTAGAGTAGAGGAGTGATTAAATAAAGAACTGGAGTGATTCTAACTCTAATATGCTCAAAGTAATCTCACAATGTACCCAGCTGACACTTTGAGCTCCACCTGTTGACTTGACGGTGTACTAATCAATAAAAGTAGCCACAAAATTAAATGTGACAAAGACCTGCATGTGTGTGTCTCTCTACTGCACACCACAGGAGTTCCTGCTCTGCAATTGAATGAAATTTATTGTGTGAGACAAGCGTTCCTGTCTGTGGGCATGCGGGACAAGATGGAGGTCAATAGCATCTTTCTCAAGGAGCTCCTGCCCTGAGGTGGGTAACAACATGGGGGGCAGTGAGGGGGGAGTGAGCGCGACGATGTTGTCAAAATGATTAATTAGGAAATTAAAAGCACTGAATTGCGTGGGAGACTGGAAGACAGTCGAGGAAAAGATTATGTGTGTGAAGGAGAATGGGGTGAAGGAATGAAAGAAATTATTTTCACTAAGAGGTGATCGATAAATCCTTGTTGCAACATTTTTAAAATTCAGGTCAGGCTCCGAGGGAATGATCTTTAGGAGAAAAACATCGGAAAAGATTCATTACACAAGTTGAATGTCAACCGATCGCTAGCACTGAGAGCGCTGACATTTGAAAAGACCTCGTCTAACAAAAGAGACGCATGTGCAAGTGTAATTAACAGGAAAAGCGTGTGCCTACGATGCTTCGTATACTTGTGTTTTTTTGTCTGCAAACTGAAACAGTTATGAGTGAGTGCGTGACATGTGAGAAGACCAGTGTAAGTTATGACTTTTCTGTAGATGTGATTAGCTCTCGCTTCTGTGAAGATTACTAATGCATAAGGTTTCATAAATCATAAGGCCTGAATCATGTCTTGCCTTCAATACAGTGCAGGGGGAATCCAATTATGCAAAGTGTAAAATTCTGAATAATATGGAATAAAAATAACCAAGGAGGGATTTTTAAGCGTTTTGGGCACAAGTCCAGCAAGTCTGTTTGGCTCCCCTTGTCCCATATCTGCCCTGGCAGGTATTCAGATGATATCAAATGAGGTTAAATCTGCACTTGCGTAGACTGCAAAATAAAGCCTGCGGGCTGGTGAAATTTTCATTCCTGTCAGTGAATACTCCTCCATGCATGAAAAGGGACTGGGATAAGGACATGCACTGCAGTGGCTCTTCTTTTCAGAAAAGTAGTGTTTTCTGAGCCGGAGTATCATCTCTCTCGAGCACAAGCTTTTCATCTTTTAACACCATCGTTCTTTTTACTGTATGGCAGGCAGTTAATCTTTTAAAAAAAAGATTAAAGATCAAGATCTACAATCATTTGCTTAAACCAGCACTCAATTTTCACTCTTTTTGTTTCTTTTATAGGAGTAATTTAAGACGTCTGCAGCCACGCTTGCAGTTCTGTGATGCTTTGAGCTAAATGCTCACCGCGCTGGCGCTTTGCATGTTTTATTACATTTCTACCATCCTATTTTCACTTTTTATAATACTAACATTTGCTAATTAGAACTAAACACAAACTGCAACTGATATTAGTGGGAAAGTAATTAATTCTCTTGAGACCATGAACATGTTCAGTGCAATCCGTTCACTAGTCTCGAACAAAGAGGCTCAACCAGCAAACATCCCCACACAGTCCCTGGCATTAGCGCAGTTGAAAATATATGCATTTCATGGTTCTCACTGATAAACTCAAAATGCACAGGCAACTATTTTTACCGTCTCTTGGGGGAAGATGATGTTAAGTGTTTTTTATATCAGTGCAAGTATTACCGTTCCTCCAGCAATTCAGCTCTGCCTCGAGTCTTTGAATAGTTTCCTTCATTGACCTGTTCTTTTCCTTCTCCTTTTCATACTTCTTCTTCCACTGCTCTGCTGTGAGCTCCAGGTTCACTGATACAGTATTCCTAATGGTCTTGGCTCTAATTGGAGGGATACAGTGAGGGAGGGAAGACAGAAAGGAAAGGAAACAGTATGAGGGGAGGGTAAGAGGGAAATATATAGATAAGAGAGAGAGGAAAAAGGAAAGTGCAAGACAACAGAAGAGAACAGAGAAACTGTCAAAACAGTTTCCAGTCGCAGCTGCTTGATGAAAATATGTTTCCATCTCATTAACTGGTATGCAAATTGGGTTTCTTCCAACTTTGGTTAAAAGGGTTATGATGAAGAGGAAGGAATTTAAAATATAAAAATGTATCAACCCCCCTGAAGCATATTCACATCAAATATACAGCACTTATCATATAAGGTAGAGTATTTATGGGAGGATAAATAATTAATAAAAAAGTCTTGCTTTAGATTTTGTTTTTGTAGTGACTGAAACATAATCACTGCAAACAAACAATTATGTTTGTTTAATTAATGAACTTGAAGGTCAGTATTTGCTTTGACGTCTTCGTTCGTCTACAGAGCCTGAACTCTCACAGGCAGCTCTCGTAATTCCTTCAAGTAGTCTTCAGAAATAGTTCTCCGGGCTTTTTGAAGGACATCCCAAAGCTCTACTTTGGATGTTTCTGCTTTTTGTTCCATTCTCTGCCGAGATGATCCCACACTGCTTCAGTAATGTTGAGGTCCGGGCTCTGGGGAGGCCAGTCCATGACTGATAGTTTTCCACAGGTATACTTGTACTGCACTGGCAGTGTGTTTGGAATCATTGCCATGCTGAAAAATGAAGGTGCTGCTAATCAGATGCTTTCCAGGTGGCACTGCATGGTGGATCAAAATCTGATGGCACTTTTCTGCATTCATAATTTAATCAATACCGGTAAGATCCTCTACACCACTCGCTGAAATTAACCTCCAACACATGACAGAGTGTTTACAGATGTCTGTAGATACTCACTGTTGTACCTCACTCCACTGGAAATACTGACATACATAAAAAACACTCCTTTAGACCTGTTGCCACTGGTTTTTAGTCCAGCTCTTTGTAATTTGGCATACATCAGCCTCTCTTCCCCCTGTTTCCTTTCCTTAGAAATGACAGCTGCCCTTACACTAACACTATTTTGATGAGGTTTTGGTGAAGAGTGGACAGATCAACTGAAGGGCCAGATGCTTCTCTCAGGTCCTGTGTCAGATCTTTGCTAGTTTTTTTCCTCCCCATTTCTTGAGGACATTACTTTTGGATACTGGTCATCTGCTGTAGGTGGTTTTTTTGACCTACTATTTCCTTTTTTTACTTCACTTGAAAAAAAAAAAAAAAGGAAAACCCTTAAAAAAACATTCCCCTGAAAATGACCGAGTTCAAGGACTGGATTAAAAAATAGGAAATGTCCAAGAAAAACTTTGAAAGACCTTCAGAAAACCCAGAGAACTATTGTTCAAGATCACTTTTACAAAAATGCTGAAAGTCTGGCTCCTTGGAAGGAAAATATGAAGAAACGAGAGGGTGGTTCAAGACTTTTGCACAGTGCCATACAACAAAAATATGTGGTTTTACAGCTGAAACAGTTACACTGAAACACCTGCAGCACTCAGTGGCTTTCCCTTCATTTCACACTTCAGTGAGAAAACACTGTCTGTATTCAATTATTCCCTGACATTAGTCAGACAAACGGTGTTATCCAGAGTCTCATCACATCAGAATATAGATAACATGTTGTTTGGATAGGGAAATGCTGAAAATCAAACATCAGGTGGCATATGTTCTGAATGCTGAACAAAGTGGTCATGACTTATTTATGCTCTGCATAAATACACAGTCCACCCATAAAACCTGTACTTTTAATAATGAATGAAACAACAATAACAACAATAATGAGCTTAAGCTAGGATTGCAGACCTGATACTGTTGACTTTTATGTCCATTCAAGGGCTTTTCTGAGAAAATATGCTGAATTCTACAGGGCAGATGTATTTAATGTCGTTTTACAGTATTTCTTATACATTCTATTAATCTTTAAAATAGATCATTGTTGGCACTGTACAGCTAGTGCTTCTGACAAAAGAGAAAAGAGACCAAATCTTTACATTCAAACATCCATTGTGAATTCTCTAACTGCCTTTGCTCTGTAATACATTATTTATTTCAACCAACACTCCAATGTCAGTCTCAATTCATTGGTAGGGCGGAAAGGCTGGATGTCCACAAAAAAGCCTTTTCAGGATCTTTCTTTTCAATCTGTGGTTTTTTTTTTAAGTCGACAGCAAGTAAAGAGAGGAAATCTGGCAAGCAAACCAAATCAGACTCCATGAATGCAGCTTACCTATCTGAAGAGGGGGGTAAAACAGATTTTGAACAAACAAGACCCAAACTACAAAAAAAAAAGCCTGCTTCTAAAGCAACTTCGTCAAAGGAAAAGTTAGAGGAAGTAATATGTGAACAGCATATCTGAGGTGAGCACATTTCAGCAAAAACATCCCCGCGACTGCAGCTGAGAGAGACGCAAATGTGTGCTGTGTTTCGCAGCGCAGACGTTCATGGCTACTTAGCATGGAAGAACGTTACCGTTGGCCAAACATCAAGGTGGATTTGGTCTCTGTATCGTTGTAGCTAGAGGGAGAGCAACAGATAAACATGGTGGTGCGGCAGTTCCCGCCCAGCGAGTCCTGTAGGATGCGAGTCATTTTACTGTCACGGTATGGCACATGGGATTTCTACAAAGAGATAAAAAGAAGCGAAGAAAGAGGATTAAAGATAGCAACGGGCAGTGAAAAAGACAAACGAGAGGATTGAAAAGCTGAAGGAAATACTGAATTGCTGCAAGACAGACGTGACGTCTGTCTTTGAAAAACTAAAAATATGTGTTGTTTGCATCGGGAGAAAACAAAGGAAAAGGTGATTTCTCTCTCTCTCTGGTAGATAATTGACAGTATAACCTTTTTAACACTTGAAATGTTTTCAAAAAGACTTTGTCCTTGCTCAGAAGACTGAATAGCAGCAGCATTTCTAACAGATTTCTGAGGCATTTACAGCCTGAGAGCCTTTCCTTTAAGTTTACCAAGAGTTCCCCAAGCCTTTTCAGCTTGTTTCTTTAAAGCCTTCAGAGGCGTATAATAACACAAGACGGGGAGTTTTTTTAATTATAACGACAGAGCTTTAAAGGAGTGGGTAGACTGGATTGTATTACCAGCTGTAGCAGCGGTGGGAATTATGGGTGAGGAGGGACGGATATCTGCTAACAAGCTAGCATGTTTCTACAAGCATTCATCCAACCCAGCTGCAAGACAACAGTGTGGATTTCATTCAAGGTGCACTGCTGTGATTTCCAGCGGCAAATACTTCAGTGTAACTGCATCTCACATGTTACACAGCTGGGGTTTGGGAGTACTTTAAAAAGTAGAATGTGGCAGTGACACAATAATAATAAATACATAGGTTTTGCTACAACTTGTGCTTATGACCGATTTGGACATAGCCATAGCCATATCAGCTTGTTCCTAGTTTTAATCTCAAGCTTAGCTAGCCAGATGCTGATAGTATTTGCAGTATGAATACAAAACTGCTAATCTAACTAATGCTTTTCCTAAAATGTCAAAGCGTGCTATTCCTTTATATTGGATGTACAGGGTGGGCCATTTATATGGATACACC